TTCTATAATATTGAACCTAGAAACATGTAATTAAACATGTAGAGACCGGAGTAAATGAGAATCTATAAAAGGGGACTTTTTGGTACTTTTTCGTCCTTCGACTGGTACTTTTTGAGTTTTCTATAAAATTTAACCTAGAAACATGAAATTAAGCATGTAGAGCCCGGAGTAAATGAGAATCTATAAAAGGGGACTATTTGGTACTTTTTCGTCCTTCGACTGGTACTTTTTGAGTTTTCTATAAAATTTAACCTAGAAACATGAAATTAAGCATGCGGAGGCCTTAGTTAATGAGAATCTATAAAAGGGGAATTTTTGGTACTTTTTCGTCCTTCCACTGGTACTTTTTGAGTTTTCTATAAAATTTAACCTAGAAACATAAAATTAAGCATGTAGAGCCCTAAGTAAATGAGAATCTATAAAAGGGGACTATTTGGTACTTTTTCGTCTTTCGACTGGTACTTTTTGAGTTTTCTATAAAATTTAACCTAGAAACATGAAATTAAGCATGTAGAGCCCTTAGTAAATGAGAATCTATAAAAGGGGACTTTTTGGTACTTTTTCGTCTTTCGACTGGTACTTTTTGAGTTTTCTATAAAATTTAACCTAGAAACATGAAATTAAGCATGTAGAGCACTTAGTAAATGAGAATCTATAAAAGGGGACTTTTTGGTACTTTTTCGTCCTTCGACTGGTACTTTTTGAGTTTTCTATAAAATTTAACCTAGAAACATGAAATTAAGCATGTAGAGCCCTTAGTAAATGAGAATCTATAAAAGGGGACTTTTTGGTACTTTTTCGTCTTTCGACTGATACTCTTTGAGTTTTCTATAAAATTTAACCTAGAAACATGAAATTAAGCATGTAGAGCCCGGAGTAAATGAGAATCTATAAAAGGGGACTTTTTGGAACTTTTTCGCCTTTCGACTGGTACTTTTTGAGTTTTCTATAAAATTTAACCTAGAAACATGAATTTAAGCATGTAGAGCCCAGAGTAAATGAGAATCTATAATAGGGGCTTTTTGGTACTTTTTCGTCCTTCGACTGGTACTTTTTGAGTTTTCTATAAAATTTAACCTAGAAACATGAAATTAAGCATGTAGAGCCCTTAGTAAATGAGAATCTATAAAAGGGGACCTTTTTGGTACTTTTTCGTCTTTCGACTGATACTTTTTGAGTTTTCTATAAAATTTAACCTAGAAACATGAAATTAAGCATGTAGCCCGGAGTAAATGAGAATCTATAAAAGGGGACTTTTTGGAACATTTTCGTCTTTCGACTGGTACTTTTTGAGTTTTCTATAAAATTTAATCTAGAAACATGAATTTAAGCATGTAGAGTCCAGAGTAAATGAGAATCTATAATAAGGGACTTTTTGGTACTTTTTCGTCCTTCGACTGGTACTTTTTGAGTTTTCTATAAAATTTAATCTACAAACATGAAATTAAGCATGTAGAGCCCAGAGTAAATGAGAATCTATAATAGGGGACTTTTTGGTACTTTTTCGTCCTTCGGCTGGTACTTTTTGAGTTATCTATAAAATTTAACCTAGAAACATGAAATTAAGCATGTAGAGCCCTTAGTAAATGAGAATCTATAAAAGGGGACTTTTTGGTACTTTTTCGTCTTTCGACTGGTACTTTTTGAGTTTTCTATAAAATTTAACCTAGAAACATAAAATTAAGCATGTAGAGCCCGGAGTAAATGAGAATCTATAAAAGGGGACTTTTTGGAACTTTTTCGTCTTTCGACTGGTACTTTTTGAGTTTTCTATAAAATTTAACCTAGAAACATGAATTTAAGCATGTAGAGCCCAGAGTAAATGAGAATCTATAATAGGGGACTTTTTGGTACTTTTTCGTCCTTCGACTTGTACTTTTTGAGTTTTCTATAAAATTTAACCTAGAAACATGAAATTAAGCATGTAGAGCCCAGAGTAAATGAGAATCTATAATAGGGGACTTTTTGGTACTTTTTCGTCCTTCGACTGGTACTTTTTGAGTTTTCTATAAAATTTAACCTAAAAACATGAAATTAAGCATGTAGAGCCCGGAGTAAATGAGAATCTATAAAAGGGACTTTTTGGTACTTTTTCGTCCTTCGACTGGTACTTTTTGAGTTTTCTATAAAATTTAACCTAGAAACATGAAATTAAGCATGCGGAGGCCTTAGTTAATGAGAATCTATAAAAGGGGACTTTTTGGTACTTTTTCGTCCTTCGACTGGTACTTTTTGAGTTTTCTATAAAATTTAACCTAGAAACATAAAATTAAGCATGTAGAGCCCTTAGTAAATGAGAATCTATAAAAGGGGACTATTTGGTACTTTTTCGTCTTTCGACTGGTACTTTTTGAGTTTTCTATAAAATTTAACCTAGAAACATGAAATTAAGCATGTAGAGCCCTTAGTAAATGAGAATCTATAAAAGGGGACTTTTTGGTACTTTTTCATCCTTCGACTGGTACTTTTTGAGTTTTCTATAAAATTTAACCTAGAAACATGAAATTAAGCATGTAGAGCCCTTAGTAAATGAGAATCTATAAAAGGGGACTTTTTGGTACTTTTTCGTCTTTCGACTGATACTTTGTGAGTTTTCTATAAAATTTAACCTAGAAACATGAAATTAAGCATGTAGAGCCCGGAGTAAATGAGAATCTATAAAAGGGGACTTTTTGGAACTTTTTCGTCTTTCGACTGGTACTTTTTGAGTTTTCTATAAAATTTAACCTAGAAACATGAATTTAAGCATGTAGAGCCCAGTAAATGAGAATCTATAAAAGGGGACTTTTTGGTACTTTTTCGTCTTTCGACCGATACTTTTTGAGTTTTCTATAAAATTTAACCTAGAAACATGAAATTAAGCATGTAGCCCGGAGTAAATGAGAATCTATAAAAGGGGACTTTTTGGAACATTTTCGTCTTTCGACTGGTACTTTTTGAGTTTTCTATAAAATTTAACCTAGAAACATGAATTTAAGCATGTAGAGCCCGGAGTAAATGAGTATCTATAATAGGGGACTTTTTGGTACTTTTTCGTCCTTCGACTGGTACTTTTTGAGTTTTCTATAAAATTTAACCTACAAACATGAAATTAAGCATGTAGAGCCCAGAGTAAATGAGAATCTATAATAGGGGACTTTTTTGTACTTTTTCGTCCTTCGACTGGTACTTTTTGAGTTTTCTATAAAATTTAACCTAGAAACATGAAATTAAGCATGTAGAGCCCTTAGTAAATGAGAATCTATAAAAGGGGACTTTTTCTCGTCTTTCGACTGGTACTTTTTGAGTTTTCTATAAAATTTAACCTAGAAACATAAAATTAAGCATGTAGAGCCCTTAGTAAATGAGAATCTATAAAAGGGGACTTTTTGATACTTTTTCGTCCTTCCACTGGTACTTTTTGAGTTTTCTATAAAATTTAACCTAGAAACATGAAATTAAGCATGTAGAGCCCTTAGTAAATGAGAATCTATAAAGGGGACTTTTTGGTACTTTTTCATCCTTCAACTGGTACTTTTTGAGTTTTCTATAAAATTTAACCTAGAAACATGAAATTAAGCATGTAGAGCCCTTAGTAAATGAGAATCTATAAAAGGGGAATTTTTGGAACTTTTTCGTCTTTCGACTGGTACTTTTTGAGTTTTCTATAAAATTTAACCTAGAAACATGAATTTAAGCATGTAGAGCCCAGAGTGAATGAGAATCTATAATAGGGGACTTTTTGGTACTTTTTCGTCCTTCGACTGGTACTTTTTGAGTTTTCTATAAAATTTAACCTAGAAACATGAAATTAAGCATGCAGAGCCCTTAGTTAATGGGAATATATAAGGGGACTTTTTGGTACTTTTTCGTTCTTCGACTGGAACTTTTTGATTTTTCTATAAAATTGAACCTAGAAACATGAAATTAAGCATATAGAGCCCGGAGTAAATTGGAAACTATAAAAGAGGACCTTTTTGGTACTTTTTTGTTCTTCGATTGGTACTTTTTGATTTTTCTATAAAATTGAACATAGAAACATGAAATTAAGCATGTAGAGCCCGGAGTAAATAAGAATCTATAAAAGGAGACTTTTTTGTACTTTTTCATTCTTCGACTGGTACTTTTTTCAGTTTTTTATAAAATTTAACCTAGAAACATAAAATTAAGCATGTAGAGCCTGGAGTAAATTAGAATCTATAAAAGGGGACTTTTTGGTACTTTATCGTACTTCGACTGGTACTTTTTGAGTTTTCCATAAAATTAAACCTAGAAACATGAAATTAAGCATGCAGAGGCCTTAGTTAATGAGAATCTATAAAAGTGAACTTTTTGGCACTTTTTCGTCCTTCGATTGGTATTTTTTGAGTTTTCTATAAAATTCAACCTAAAAACATGAAATTAAGCATATAGAGCACGGCGTAAATGAGAATCTATAAAAGTGGACTTTTAAGTACTTAAAATTGAGTACACATATACAATCATCATTTCTTCAAATTAGGGAATTACCAATATTTAAAAATTTGTAATCTTTGTAATACATATTATTTTTTCCTTGCTAAATGAAGAGCCAACATATTTCTCATTCTATAAAAACCCTCGCTAACAAAGTAGCGGGTAATAAGCTAGTCGATTATAAGTTACCTTTTTCGATGTTTAAGGGGATTCCTAAGAAAACTATTTTTACTTTTGAATGTCATTAACTTTTCAAATAATTAATAAACCACTTACTGTTAAATCAAAATTTTAAAGTGTTTATAATACTACTTTCTAAACAATCTTTAGACTAACATAAGTTATTAATATTAATTTAATATAAAGTATTTAACAAGAAAAAAAAATATCACGAAATACAGGGGCAAATTAGGTATGAATATCTGATAAGACATGAAAATCGCCTAGGTTAAAAACACGTTTCTGCAGTTATAGCGTCGATAACAGTGATAATTGAACTGTTAAAGAAAGATATTATTCCAAAATTTCAATATAAAAGAATTAGGAAATGTTTCGAAAGTAGTTTAGTTAGTTAAGAACTTCTGTAAACAGCAGGCGGTTTAATAAAATTTTAAATAAACTAAAAAATTTGGTTTTTGAACATGTATAAAATAATTTCGGCTTCATTCTTAATCGCCTTGGCGATTGTAACAAATGGAGAGGTAAGTTTAAAACTTGAACTATGCTTACACAAATAAAAGAAATCTTCATCATATTGCAGAAATTACGGTAATATTTATATTTTAACCAATTTTATAGATCCAAAATGTAGAACCATACAACTACAACTCTAATTCCAATTCGTCCCTTCGCACTGAAGACTACATCAATATGAATAGACAACAATATGCTAAAGTTATCGAAGAATATGATATACAAATGGAAATTTTCAAACAATCGTATGCAGCAAGTCTTGAGACCATTAACATAAGACAGGACATGTTAGTCGATACACTTGTTCAAACTGATGCTGAATTAAATCCTTTGGAAATTCTTAGCAATTTAAGTCAGAAATGTGTTGCCAAATATCGCCCTTCAATACCAACAGTGTCTGCTACCAAAACAAAAATGAATTACTGTTTTACCACTGCCTCCCAACAACTTAATAATATGCTTAATATACCCCGTAACACTAAAACTTCCACGGAGAGCTATTTAAAGAATAGTTTTGAAAGAGACATTGCTCTCTGCAAGAGAACATATTCTACATCACCTTTTAATTACACCATGTGTGCTATACAATCTGTAAGTGTTTTTATATCGAAACTATATATTAAAATGGATTTAATTAAATCTCATAACTCTAATATTTTCAGGTTGAGGCTGCCAACATTTATATATTCAGCAGTCAAAAAAATTTTGCCAATCAAATGGCTGTAGCCGAATGCTCTTCTAAAGCTAATATCAATAATGCTTTGGATTGTAGTTATTCAGTTGAGAAGGAGGCTATTTCTGCAGTTGCTGAAGCCAAAACATTAATTAACAAGTGTCTGACCGCACAAGATGTCTGTAAATCATGTAATCAAGTTTTCACATGCTCCGAAGTACATTACATGAAACGTTCTGAAGTCAGTTATAGCAGTAGAACTATGGATAATCCTTTCTATGGACGTAATGATATAAAAAATTGCTTAATGTTGCAAATACAATAAAAAAGATTAAGTACTATTTGTTAAATATGTATTTATAACGAAATTAATAAATTGTACTACTAAATATGTAGAAAGCATTGAAATTTAACACAAATTTGAATTATTGTATTAAAAAGTTAACAAATGGGAACTTATGTATTTGTTTTTAAATTAAGTTCAAAAATGAATCAAACCGATTGAGTACAGCCAGAAAAAACGCTCCGCATCGATTAGGGCGAGACAAAATTTTATATCCACTTTCGACTGGTCGAGAGTTATTCGAACATATCGGTAATTATTCCTTCAACTGTATTCGGTCCAGGTCTTTCCCCGATTCTGCTGTTTATAGAGGATGGGTCCCGATAGTAGGGCTTCTTTAAAAATTCACTTTATAATACTGGATCCTTAAAGTGTCCGTCGAGATACTCAAAAATTTCATAAATGTACGGTTAGTTTTAAGCTACTTATGAGCGTTAAAGTGAAATGGAAATATTAAGTCAATTATTTGCGTTAAAGTGATTTGTTGAAGGGTCTTTTATGCTCCGATGTCCACCATACATAAATTGAGTAAAATTATGTAATGATACTATATAATTAAGAAATTTATGACCTTTTAAACAGCATTTCGAGAGGGAGAAATCGTAGACGGATATGCTTATTTTCAATACCAAAGAAACCATATCTATAGAGAAGTTAGTTAGTTAGTTAGTTAGTTAGTTAGTTAGTTAGTAGTAGTTAGTAGTTAGTTAGTTAGTTAGTTAGTTAGTTAGTTAGTTAGTTAGTTAGGTAGTTAGTTAGTTAGTTAGTTAGTTAGTTAGTTAGTTAGTTAGTTAGTTAGTTAGTTAGTTAGTAGTTAGTTAGTTAGTTAGTTAGTTAGTAGTAGTTAGTTAGTTAGTTTAGTTAGTTAGTTAGTTAGTTAGTTAGTTAGTTAGTTAGTTAGTTAGTTAGTTAGTTAGTTAATTAGTTGTTAGTGGTTAGTTAGTTAGTTAGTTAGTAGTAGTTCGTTATTAGTTAGTTAGTTAGTTAGTTAGTTAGTAGTTAGTTAGTTAGTTAGTTAGTTAGTTAGTTAGTTAGTTCGTTAGTTAGTAGTTAGTTAGTCTAGTTAGTTAGTTAGTTAGTTAGTTAGTTAGTTAGTTAGTTAGTTAGTAGTAGTTAGTTAGTTAGTTAGGTAGTTGTTAGTTTTAGTTAGGTAGTTAGTTAGTAGTTAGCTAGTTAGTTAGTTAGTTAGTAGTAGTTAGTTAGTTAGTTAGTTAGTTAGTTAGTAGTAGTTAGTTAGTAGTCGTTAGTTAGTTCGTTAGTTAGTTAGTTAGTTAGTTAGTAGTTAGTTAGTTAGTAGTTAGTTAGTTAGTTAGTTAGTTAGTAGTTAGTTAGTAGTTAGTTAGTTAGTTAGTAGTTAGTTAGTTAGTAGTTAGTTAGTAGTTAGTTAGTAGTTAGTTAGTTAGTTAGTTCGTTAGTTAGTTAGTTAGTTAGGTTAGTTAGTTAGTAGTAGTTAGTTAGTAGTTAGTTAGTAGTTAGTTAGTTAGTTAGTAGTTAGTTAGTTAGTTAGTTAGTTAGTAGTAGTTAGTAGTTAGTTAGTTAGTTAGTTAGTTAGTTAGTTAGTTAGTTAGTTAGTAGTTCGTAGTTAGTTAGTTAGTTAGTTAGTTAGTTAGTTAGTAGTTAGTAGTTAGTTAGTTAGTTAGTAGTAGAGTTAGTTAGTTAGGTAGTTAGTTTAGTTAGTTAGTTAGTTAGTTAGTTAGTTAGTAGTAGTTAGTTAGTTAGTTAGTTAGTTATTAGTTAGTAGTTAGTTAGTTAGTGTAGTTAGTTAGTTAGTTAGTTAGTAGTTAGTTAGTCGTAGTAGTTAGTTAGTTAGTAGTTAGTTAGTTAGTTAGTTAGTTAGTTAGTTAGTTAGTAGTTAGTTAGTTAGTTAGTTAGTTAGTTAGTTAGTTAGTTAGTTAGTTAGTAGTAGTTAGTTAGTTAGTTAGTTAGTTAGTTAGTTAGTTAGTTAGTTAGTTAGTAGTTAGTTAGTTAGTTAGTTAGAGTTAGTAGTTAGTTAGTTAGTTAGTTAGTTAGTTAGTAGTTAGTTAGTTAGTTAGTTAGTTAGTTAGTTAGTTAGTTAGTTAGTTAGTTAGTTAGTTAGTTAGTTAGTTAGTTAGTTAGTTAGTTAGTTAGTTAGTTAGTAGTTAGTTAGTTAGTAGTTAGTTAGTTAGTTAGTTAGTTAGTTAGTTAGTTAGTTAGTTAGTTAGTTAGTTAGTTAGTTAGTTAGTTAGTTAGTTAGTTAGTTAGTTAGTTAGTTAGTTAGTTAGTTAGTTAGTTAGTTAGTTAGTTAGTTAGTTAGTTAGTTAGTAGTTAGTTAGTTAGTTAGTTAGTTAGTTAGTTAGTTAGTAGTTAGTTAGTTAGTTAGTTAGTTAGTTAGTAGTTAGTTAGTTAGTTAGTTAGTTAGTTAGTTAGTTAGTTAGTTAGTTAGTTAGTTAGTTAGTTAGTTAGTAGTTAGTTAGTTAGTTAGTTAGTTAGTTAGTTAGTTAGTTAGTTAGTTAGTAGTTAGTTAGTAGTTAGTTAGTTAGTTAGTTAGTTAGTTAGTTAGTAGTTAGTTAGTTAGTTAGTTAGTTAGTTAGTTAGTTAGTTAGTTAGTTAGTTAGTTAGTTAGTTAGTTAGTTAGTTAGTTAGTTAGTTAGTTAGTTAGTTAGTTAGTTAGTTAGTTAGTTAGTTAGTTAGTTAGTTAGTAGTTAGTTAGTTAGTTAGTTAGTTAGTTAGTTAGTTAGTTAGTTAGTTAGTTAGTTAGTAGTTAGTTAGTTAGTTAGTTAGTTAGTTAGTTAGTTAGTTAGTTAGTTAGTTAGTTAGTTAGTTAGTAGTTAGTTAGTTAGTTAGTTAGTTAGTTAGTTAGTTAGTTAGTTAGTTAGTTAGTTAGTTAGTTAGTTAGTTAGTTAGTTAGTTAGTTAGTTAGTTAGTTAGTTAGTTAGTTAGTTAGTTAGTTAGTTAGTTAGTTAGTTAGTTAGTTAGTTAGTTAGTTAGTTAGTTAGTTAGTTAGTTAGTTAGTTAGTTAGTTAGTTAGTTAGTTAGTTAGTTAGTTAGTTAGTTAGTTAGTTAGTTAGTAGTTAGTTAGTTAGTTAGTTAGTAGTTAGTTAGTTAGTTAGTTAGTTAGTTAGTTAGTTAGTTAGTTAGTTAGTTAGTTAGTTAGTTAGTTAGTTAGTTAGTTAGTTAGTTAGTTAGTTAGTTAGTTAGTTAGTTAGTTAGTTAGTTAGTTAGTTAGTTAGTTAGTTAGTTAGTTAGTTAGTTAGTAGTTAGTTAGTTAGTTAGTTAGTTAGTTAGTTAGTTAGTTAGTTAGTTAGTTAGTTAGTTAGTTAGTAGTTAGTTAGTAGTTAGTTAGTTAGTTAGTAGTTAGTTAGTTAGTTAGTTAGTTAGTTAGTTAGTTAGTTAGTTAGTTAGTTAGTTAGTTAGTTAGTTAGTTAGTTAGTTAGTTAGTTAGTTAGTTAGTTAGTTAGTTAGTTAGTTAGTTAGTTAGTTAGTTAGTTAGTTAGTTAGTTAGTAGTTAGTTAGTTAGTTAGTTAGTTAGTTAGTTAGTTAGTTAGTTAGTTAGTTAGTTAGTTAGTTAGTTAGTTAGTAGTTAGTTAGTTAGTTAGTTAGTTAGTTAGTTAGTTAGTTAGTTAGTTAGTTAGTTAGTTAGTTAGTTAGTTAGTTAGTTAGTTAGTTAGTTAGTTAGTTAGTTAGTTAGTTAGTTAGTTAGTTAGTTAGTTAGTTAGTTAGTTAGTTAGTTAGTTAGTTAGTTAGTTAGTTAGTTAGTTAGTTAGTTAGTTAGTTAGTTAGTTAGTTAGTTAGTTAGTTAGTTAGTTAGTTAGTTAGTTAGTTAGTTAGTTAGTTAGTTAGTTAGTTAGTTAGTTAGTTAGTTAGTTAGTTAGTTAGTTAGTTAGTTAGTTAGTTAGTTAGTTAGTTAGTTAGTTAGTTAGTTAGTTAGTTAGTTAGTTAGTTAGTTAGTTAGTTAGTTAGTTAGTTAGTTAGTTAGTTAGTTAGTTAGTTAGTTAGTTAGTTAGTTAGTTAGTTAGTTAGTTAGTTAGTTAGTTAGTTAGTTAGTTAGTTAGTTAGTTAGTTAGTTAGTTAGTTAGTTAGTTAGTAGTTAGTTAGTTAGTTAGTTAGTTAGTTAGTTAGTTAGTTAGTTAGTTAGTTAGTTAGTTAGTTAGTTAGTTAGTTAGTTAGTTAGTTAGTTAGTTAGTTAGTTAGTTAGTTAGTTAGTTAGTTAGTTAGTTAGTTAGTTAGTTAGTTAGTTAGTTAGTTAGTTAGTTAGTTAGTTAGTTAGTTAGTTAGTTAGCTACATAGCTACATCGACTTAGAGTTTAAAAAAGGACCCAGAATACATATGTCGGTCTACGACTAATATTTTGAGGTGCTTTTAATTGTCTTGGTTATTTTCAATAATTCACTTACTAGGGTTGGATTAGGACACAAAACATTGTTTTAGAATGATAATTTTTGAAAAATCTAACGCCATATTTTATATTGAAATTAAGAAATTTATTAATTGATATGCAAATATGTTTGAAACAGTATTACAGTATTTCTAATACAATTGCAACATTAAGCAATTTTTAATGTCACTACGTAAATAGAAAGGATTGTTCATAGTTTTACGCGTATAACTGACTTCAGAACGTGGCATTTTATGAACTTCGGAGCATGTAAAACCTTGGATACATGGTTTGCAGTCATCTTTACTCTCCAGACACTTGTTAATTAATGTTTTGGCTTCAGCAATTGCAGAAATAGTCTCCTTCTCAACTAAATAACTACAATCCAAAGCTTTATTGATACTAGGGTGATCGACTCGATTTTTCAACCGGTTTTAAAACCGGTTTTTTCTGCTTTACCAGTGTCGGTTTTTTCTAAATGTTGATTTTTCGAATATCGAATAACCCGGTTTTTTCACTTTTTAAAAACCGGTTTCGAATACTTTTATTTGGTTTGTATTTAAAGATTATTTAAATGAAATTTTGAAGTAAATAATACAGCGCGTTTAAATTTTAAAAATATTCGAGTCTAGGAACTAGGATATATTTTTCTAAAGCACCATTGGTTAAACTTTTTTGATTTTCCTAATTAATTAAAAAATTTTATTTGTAAAATTGATAACTGTTTAATAAAATTTTATTAATCTTAAGATTATATTCCAACTACAATAATTAATTAACCGCTGAAATATTATGGAAGTGTTGGAATGCCTATGAAAATTTCCTAAAAGGGCTTTAGAATAAGCTAGGATTACATAGTACCTTATGTTTAACAGAAGTGTCCACTTTTTTCCTATTTTTTTTTATATTAAAGAAATAATGTAAATCAGACGACTAGATCTAAAGCTATAATCTGTTAAACTCTTAAAAATCATTTCGGGCCATGTTTTATTAATCAAATTTAAACATAAACATTAATTTCTTCAAATTAACATATATTTTTTTATTTATTATCAAAAACCGGTTAACCGGTTTTTTCTGAATTTGAAAAATATCAACCGGTTTTTTTGAAATGTCAACTATTCGAACTATTCGAAAACCGGTTTTTGGAAAATGTCGAATAATCGATCACCCTAATTGATACTAGCTTCAGACGAGCATTCAGCAACATCCATTTGAACGGCAAAATCTTTTTGACTTTTGAATATATAACTGTTGGTGGTATCAACCTGAAAATATCGGAGTTAATGAGCATTTATATTTAGCATGCCACTAAATTGTTGGTTGGCAGTGGTAATACAGTTATTTATTTTTGCTTTAGTAACAATCACGGCTGGTATTGACGGCCGATATTTGGAAACACATTTTGGGTTTTGGATTTCTATGGACATTAATTCATCATCAGTTTGAACAAGTGTGTTGACTAACATGTCCTGCTGTATGTTAATGGTATCAAGACTTGCTGTATACAATTGTTTAAAAAGTTCCATTTGTATATCAAAATCTTCGATATATTTAGCAAATTGCTGTCTATTCATATTGATGTAGTCCTCAGTGCGCAATGTTGAGTTGATGTAAGGTTCTACATTTTGGTTCTATAAAAATTGTAAAAAAAACGTTATTTTTTCAAGTTGTCAGATACTTTCGATCTTCGGTTCGTTAAGGTTTTAAATTTACCTCTGCTCTTGCCAAATCCCCTAACACTATTAAGAATAAAGCCGAAATTATTTTATACATGTTCGACATCGAAAATTTGTTAAATTTTTTTTAACGCCGTTTGTTGTTTGTAGAAGGTCTTCAGCGACTAAACTACTTTCCGAAAAATCTTCACTTGTTTTATATTAAAATTTTGGAATACTTAATACCTTTAATAACAATTTCCTTATCACTGATATCAGCAGCACATCTGCAGAAAGGCGTATTAGTAGAAGTGATTTTAATTTCTTATCAGCCAAACTTTAATTATTTGCGCCTGTTTTTATTATTGATGAATTTATGACCGAATTCAAAAAGAAGAAAATAAACAAGTAAGAGTGTTATATTCGGCTGTGCCGAATCTCATATACCCACCATCAAACCGTATGCCGTAAAAGGAATGCTCCCCTATAAACATCAGCGTGATATTTGGAATATGGCTTAAGTCAATTATGGCCCGAGCTCTTTTGAACTAACAAAATATTAATTTAAAAAAAATATTTTATTTCAATTCTTAAACCATGAGCGTCAATTATGAACCGATACTCATAAAATTTTGTACATTCAGGGCTATACTCGTATTTCAAATAAGGAACACTCGTAGTTTTTTAACCAAAACTCTTTCCTGAAGGGAACCTTTTGTGTATTACCGACACATTCCGCATGAAATTCGGAGCGAATTTCATAACCGTATTTCATAACTCATATTTTTAAGCCAGTAATGATCGTTTAAGTAATTTTCTGAAGGGGACCTTATATGGGCGGTAGGTTAAATTATATACCGATCCTCCCTAAATTTGGTGGAGAGATTAAACTTATGTGCGTCAATTTTCTTCACATTCCTATTTTTAAGCCAGTAATGAGCATTGTAGTTATTTGCAGAGGGGGACCTTATATGGGGGAAGGGTCATTTATGGGCCGATTCAAAAAATTGGTATAGAGGTTTTGGCTCGTAAGAAACTTACGTATGTAGCATTTCATCGCTTTACTCGTATTTTTAAGACAATAGTAAGCGTTTAAGCTATTTCCTGAAGTGGACCCACATAAAAGTTATTAAAATGATTTTGGTCGCGAGGAACTTAATTGTGTAAAATTTTATTGCTATATTCGTATTTTTTAGCCAGTAATGAGCGTTAAAGATTTTTTCTAAAGGGGACCTTATATGGGGGGTAGGGACATTTATGGACCAATCCCCAAAAAATTTGGTAGAAAGATTTTGGCTTACATAAAACTTATTTATGTCGAATTTCATCGCTATACTTGCATTTTGGGGCCAGTAATGAGTGTTAAAGTTATTTTCAGGAGGGGACCTTATATGGGGGGTAGGGTCATTTATGGGCCGATCCTACAAAGATTGTTTAAAAGGTTTTGGTTCGTAAGAAACTTATTTATACTGAATTTCATCGCTATGCTCGAATTTTTGGGCTAGTAATGAGTGTTAAAGTCATTTTCTAAAGGGGACCTTATATGGGGGGTAGGGTCATTTATGGGCCGATCCTAAAAAAATTGGTTAAAAGGTTTTGGTTCGTAAGAAACTTACTTATACTGAATTTCATCGCTATACTCGAATTTTTTTGCTAGTAATGAGTGTTAAAATCATTTTCTAATGGGGACCTTATATGGGGGGTAGGGTCATTTATGGGCCGATCCTAAAAAAAATTGGTAGAGAAATTTTGGTTCGTAAGAAACATACTTGTACCGAATTTCATCGCTATACTTGCATTTTGGGACCAGTAATGAGTGTTAAAGTAATTTTCAGAAGGGGACCTTATATGGGGGGTAGGGTCATTTATGGGCCGATCGTCAAAAAATTAAGTATAAAGATTTTGGCTCATATGAAACTTATTTATGTCGAATTTCATCGCTATACTTGTACTTCTTAAGCAGTTATGCCCGTTAAAGCTGTTTTTTGCAGGTCCACTTGTATGGGGGCTATCCGAAAAAGTGGACCGATATTGCCCATTTTCAATACCAAACAAACCTTAACAATGGAGAATATTTGTGCAAAATTTCAACTGTCTAGCTCCTCTCTTGTGGTCCCTATCGTGATTTCAACAGACAGACGGACAGACGGACGGACGGACGGACGGACGGACAGACGGACAGACGGACGGACATGGCTAGATCGTCTTAGAATTTGAAAAGAACCCAGAATATATATACTTTTATGGGTCTATGACCAATATTTCGATGTGTTACAAACGGAATGACAAAATCAATATACCCCCCATCTTTTTTGATGGTGGGTATAAAAATAAATAAAATTAATTAATTACTCAATTTTTGTATTTTTGTATTTTTCATACAAATTTTTAAAAATTGTTTTACATTCTACTTTCTGATTACGGGCCTTAATTTTTTTCTGAGAAATGTTCAACTGAAAATTTTTTTAATTAACAATTTTGATTTAACTCTAATTTATTAATATTCAGTACTTCCATGTATTAAATTCTATTCTTTTTTCGCTTCATTGAAAGTTTTTGCTGGCTAGGCCTTAGTTAAAAATCCCCAATTTCGGATTATGCCAGTCTTGTATTAAATGAGCGATATGTATATAATAACGTCTTTTTATCACTACTAGATGTGTTACAAACAGAATAACAAAATTAATATACCTGTATATATTTTTATATTTTAATAATTTTTAAAAAAAAACTTAAGCTTACATAACATCTATGTACTCAAAATCAGATAACGATTTATTTTAATTTTTTACTATGAAATAATTCACATATAATTTCTTATAAACTTAAAGGATTGTTATGATTGATTTTTAAGTGTTTCACTATCAATCATCAATCCTATCACAATGAAATTACTATTAAACAAGTTTGATAAGGAATAATCAAAAAGCTATAAATAAAATCGTCACAATCGGAAGTGTCATAAAAATAGTATTTATGTTTATAAAAATTATTGCTATTGATGGATTCCCCTTCAGATAAATAGTTTAGTTCCGAGAAATTCATAATAAATTATTTGAAAATAAACGTAAAATTTTGTAAACAAATTAGACAGAGTAAAAAAATAGGTAATATATATGCTTAACATGATAAAGATGGGGGAATATTTATTTTCTTATAAGGTTTGTAACATAACAAAATGTTGGCCGTAAAACTATAGAAGTTTATATTTACATTAGGATATCCCATTTTTTTGTAGGAATACTTCTCAAGCGATGCGTGTTTATACATTAAATACGAGAAAAACAAAAGTATGAAAACCCACACATATAAGCGTAGTTTTGAAGATCTTTTCAATGAAAAGTTATATTAATACCCTACACCATTATAGTAGGGGGGGGGGGCGTTATTCATTTGTGTTGATGTTTGTAACACCCAAAAATTTTGGTCCTAAAACTTAAAGTATGCCAATCGGCTAAGAATCACTGTCTTCTATCTATCTATCTATCTATCTATCTATCTATCTATCTATCTATCTATCTATCTATCTATCTATCCTATCTATCTATCTATCTATCTATCTATCTATCTATCTATCTATCTATCTATCTATCTATCTATCTATCTATCTATCTATCTATCTATCTATCTATCTATCTATCTATCTATCTATCTATCTATCTATCTATCTATCTATCTATCTATCTATCTATCTATCTATCTATCTATCTATCTATCTATCTATCTATCTATCTATCTATCTATCTATCTATCTATCTATCTATCTATCTATCTATCTATCTATCTATCTATCTATCTATCTATCTATCTATCTATCTATCTATCTATCTATCTATCTATCTGTCTATCTATTTTATCAAGATAATTTGATAAAATTTGTTCTTCAAAAAAGAGCATCGTTTCACCCAAGGACGAAGCCTGTTGAAAATGGTTAAAATCGACCCATTATGTCGCCTAGCCTTCATATAGTTCTGTCGGGTAGATCGGAGAACAGGCCCGAAAGAAGCCTAGGTTTGCTGTATATATATATATATACATCCTTCCTTCACAAGGGAAAAAGAAATACACATGCCTGGTACCAAATTGATACCAAACTGTTAATAATTTTTCAATAACATCCGTTGTCAAAGTATATACATACATACGATAACACTATATAATGTTGACAACATTTCAACAATTCGTTGTCGAACTCCAAATTTTATACACATCCGTTGTCTGAATGTTAACAAACAAACAATCTGTTGCCAACAGTGAGCTTACCACGTTTGTTAACATTTAGACAACGGATATGTATAAAATTTAGATAGACAACGAATTGTTGCAATGTTGACAATGTTGCCTTGTCAACATTACATAGTGTTGTCGTACGTATGTATATACTTTGACAACGGATGTTATTGAAAAATTATAAAATCTTTTATGTTATTTCTTTTTCCCTCTGTGTTCAAACTAACTAACTAATTTTGTCTACCTAGATTTTGACTTGGAACCGAAGTGCTTAACCTTTTGACTGACTTTCAATTTGATACATCCAGTGATTCCCCAATTGATTAATTTCTATCTATAGACATCAGTGATGTCATATTTAACAATTTCTCTTTTAATATAATAGTTTGTCAAGGATAAAAAAAACTTACAAATTATTGTTATTTTATCAATGAAATTGCAAATAAATGGACTTTTAAGGGGATTCCTAAAAAACTTTTGATTGTATAAAGATTAAATTACTTTATTTTTTTAAATAATGTTAAATCAATATTTTAAAATCTTTATAGCAATACTTTTAAGTTATGACTATTAAATTAACATTTACCAGGAAAAATAAATCAACAAATTTATCAATAAAAGCAGAGGCAAATGGGGCAAGTATGTCTGATAACACAAGAAAATCGCCTAGGTTAAAAACACCTGTCTACAAATTAAGCGATAACTGTTGAAAAGATTTTAGTCCAAAATTTTATTATAAAAGTACTAAGTAATGTTTCTAAAATAGTTAAGTTATTTGAGAACCTTTGCAAATAGCAAGTGGTATTAAAAAATTTTAAGCAAATCACAAAAAATATTTCGAACATAATCTCGGCTTTATTCTTAATCGTATTGGGGATTGTGGCAAATGGAGAGGTGAGTTTAAAACTTTAACTAATTTCATACAGATAAAAAACTAAACTTAAATTGTTACAAAAATAATGCCAATATTTTTATATATTAACAAATTTTATAGATCCAAAATGTAGAACCATACGACTATAGGTCTAATAACAATTCATCCCTTCACACTGAAGACTACATCAATATGAATAGACAACAATATGCTAAAGTTATCGAGGGATATAATACAGAAATGGCTATTTTCAAACAATCGTATACAGCAAGTCTTGATACCATTAACATACGACAGGACATGTTAGTCGATACGCTTGCTCAAACTGATGCAGAATTAAATCCCTTGGAAATACTTAGCAATTTAAGTCAGAAATGTGTTGCCAAATATCGCCCCTCAATACCAACCGTAACTGCTACCAAAACAAAAATTAATTATTGTATTTCAACTGCCTCCCAACAACTTAGTAGTGTGCTTAATACGCCCCTTAGCACTAGAACTTCAACCGAAAGCTATTTAAAGAATACTTTTGAAAGGGATATTAATCTCTGCAAGAGAACATATTCTACATTACCTTTAAATTACACCATGTGTGCTATACAAACTGTAAGTGTTTTAAATCGAAAGTACATATATGTATAACAAAATCATTAAAATGCTCATAACTCTAATATTTTCAGGTTGACGCTGCCAACATTTATATATTCAACAGTCAAAAAAATTTTGCCAATCAAATGACTGTAGCCGAATGCTCGTCTAAAGCTAATATCAAGAATGCTTTGGATTGTAGTTATTCAGTTGAAAAGGAGGCTATTTCTGCAGTTGCTGAAGCCAAAACTTTAATTAACAAGTGTCTGGCCGCACAAGATGACTGTAAACCATGTAACCAAGTTTTCACATGCTCCGAAGTACATTATATGAAACTTTCTGAAGTCAGTTATAGCAGTAGAACTATGTATAATCCATTCTATGGTCGTTATGATATTAAAAATTGCTTAATGTTGCAAATACAATAGAAAATTGATACTATTTGTTAAATAAATTTTTATAACGAAATTCATAAATTGTACATATAAAACAAGTAAGAAATTATAGTCGGGCGAGGCCGACCATATAATACCCTACACCTGTTACAAAAATAAAATGTGATTTAGTTTTCATAATAAAGCATTTAAGTTGAATTTCTCCTTGCCTTGAATTATACTTAAGCCATTTATTGCTGAATAAAATAGTGGGGCTATGGTCAAATGAGACCTTATAATTATAAAATTCATGAGAGTCATCAAGGCTAGTATAGAACTTGGTTTTGCAGCTTTTTGTCGAGATACGAGTATATTAAACATAATTATAAACTTAAAATTCCTATTCGTCGGGTTCAGTTGTATGGGGGCTAGGTGAAATAATGGACTGATGTTAACCATTTTTAATATTCTTCGTCTCCGGTACCATAGAAGATCATGTGCCAAATATCATTGAATTATCTTCAAAATTGCGACCTCTAGTTTGATTACAAAGTTTACAAGCCCTATTCAGGGGTTCAGTTGTATGGGGGCTAGGTGAGAAAATGCACCGATGTTAACCATTTTCAATAGACTTCGTCTCCGATACCATAGAAGATCATCTGCCAAATTTCATTGAATTATCTTCAAAATTGCGACCTGTAGTTTGATTACAAAGTTTACAAGCCCTATTCGGGGGTTCAGTTGTATGGGGGCTAGGTGAAATAATGGACCGATGTTAACCATTTTCAATAGACTTCGTCCCTGGGACAATAGAAGATCATGTGCCAAATTTCATTGAATTATCTTCAAAATTGCGACCTGTAGGTTGATTACAAGGTTTACATGGACGGAAGGACATAGCTCAGAAATGATTTTAAAGTGGTGTAGGGTATAAAAAGTGTGAAATTTTATTGATGGCACATTCATGTCCTTTATACACTCGTGTAGACCTACTCTCAACTATGCCAAAGCTATGCGTGTGAAAGTTTTTCGACAAGGTACATCAAAGTTATAGCGTTTTTTTTATTAAAGTTTTTTAAATATATTGTCAAAAATACATTTATCAATATTATTCAAGGTTTAAGAAATCGATAATACTTAAGTAAATAAAATTATTTAATATTCAAACTGCAAATTCCTAATAAAATTAACATAATTTTATATGAGATGCTAAACATTTTTATACTCTACACTACTTTAGCGGAGAGGGTATATTGGATTTGTGTTGATGTTTGTAATGTTTAATGGTCCTATATCCACCTTTAAAAATACCCATCTGCTCAGAATCATTTTCTGAATTGATTAAGCCATGTCCGTCCGACCTTGTAATCAAACTACAGAGCGCAAGGACGAACACTATTGATTTTGTTTGATATCGGTCCATTATTTTACCAGCTCTATATAAACGGATCTCCTAAATTGTGATAAGGAGCTCATAATTATGCCAAATATACTAATTGATTCAAACATTTAATTTGACTTAAGTAAGTGTCTGATGAACCAAAACCTCTCTACACTGAAAATAATCCATGCTCAACTTTACGAAAAAAAATTTCGTAACTTCTATTTTCGTAATATTTACAAAAATTTCGTGTATAATGCGAAATATTATTTAATAAAACCCTTTTCAATTTTTACGAAAGTACGAAAACCGTTCGTAATATTTGTTTCTTAAATTTTAGCGAAATTAAACATAATGATATAAATTAAATTATCATTAAATAAAACTACAACATTTTTATAAAATTTAAGAAAAAGTATAATATTATTCCCGAATTATTTTCATAAAAAAAATTAAAAATTCGTGTGGAGAATAATTTTGAACTAAAATTAGAAAAAATATTTTAAAATGAACAAAAATGTTGGCATAAATTAATATTTGGTAAATTTTACCATATTTATTCAAAATTCACTTTTTTCAATTTATGTAAATTAATTTTTCCAAGATTATTTTGCATTACACTAAAATATTTCGTACAATTTCGTATATATTACGAGCGATTCGTACAATGTACGACATTTTTCGTATATATTAGGCATGGATTTTTTTCAGTGTACCAAATTTAATGTGAATCGGTACATAATTGACCCCCAAATAAGCCCCCCTTCAAAAAATGACTATAACGCTCATTACTGGCTTAAAAATACGAGTATAGCAATGAAATTTGACATAAAATTTTATGCGGATCGGTTCATAATTGACCCACCCCATATAAAGACCTCTTCAAAAAATTACTATAACGCTAATTACTGTCTTAAAAATACGAGTATAGCAATGTAATTCGACACACATAAGCTCCATGCGAGCCAAAACTTGTGTAGAAAATTTAATGTGGATCGGTCCATAATTGACCTTAACCCCCATATAAGGTTCTCATCAAAAAATGACTTTAACTCTCATTACTGGCTTCAAAATACGAGTATAGCAATGAAATTTAAAATAAGTTAGTCCCTAATGAGCCAAAACCTCTCTACCAAATTTTATATGGATGGATCAGTCCATAATTGACCGTATCTCCCATATAGGGTCCCTTCAAATTACTGTCTTAAAAATAGGAGTATAGCGATTAAATTCGACACACATAAGTTTCATGCGAATTTTATATGGATCGATCAATAATAAACCCTAACCCCAATATAAGGTACCCTTCAAAAAATTACTTTAACGCTCATTACTGACTTAAAAATTCTAATATGGCAATGAAATTGGACACAAATAAATTTCATGAGAGCCAAAATCTGTCTATCAAATTTTATGTGGATCAGTCCATAATTGACCCTACCCTCCATATAAGGTCCCTTCAAAAAAATGACTTTAACGCTCATTACTGGCTTAAAACTATGATTATAGCGATGAAATTCGACAAGCATAAGTTTCATGCGAGTCAAAATATCTCTATCAAATTTTATATGGATCGGTCAATATTTAACCATAACCCCATATAAGCTACCCTTAAAAAATAACTTTAACGCTCATTACTGGCTTAAAAATACGAATATAGCGATGAAATTGGACACACATAAGTATCATGCGAGCCAAAATCTGCCTATTAAATTTTATTTAGTTCCTAACCCCCATATAAGACCCCCTTCAAAAAATTTCTTTAACGCTCATTACTGGCTTAAAAATACGAATATAGCGATGAAGTCAAAATCTCTATCAAATTTTATATGGATCGGACAATAATTAACCCTATGACGTATACATAGCTTAAGTTTCTTACGAGCCAAAACCTAAGAAACTTTTATAGGAACGTAAATCTTCCTACCGAATTTCAGGCGTAAAGTGTCGGGAACTTATATTCGATGTAAAGAATGTGTGTTTATTTGTTTGTGGGTTTGTTTGTGGATTTGTTTGTTTGTTTGAAGTCTATAGATGGCTAAACGACTGGACCGATTTTCTTGAAATTTTAACAGTACCTTCCTGTATATCTGGAAGGAACTATAGGCTACTTTTTATTTTAAAATTTCAAGTAGGCGAGTTGCCACGCCTACTTAATAGCTATTAAAAGTCATATATCTTGGAAAATGGTACAATTAGAGTTCACAAATTTTGCACGGACAACTTTGACATCCATAAGAATATTTTTTTTGACAAAATGGACGGAATGACTATAGTGGGCGTGGCACCTTCCATATTAAGAAAATATTAAATATGTATATCTCGGAAAATGTAACAGTTAGAGCCCTCAAATTTGGTCGAAGCCACATAAGTCTCAATGTTATTAGTTAGGATAAAAAGTGGCGTAGGGGAGTGGCACCTCCTTAATTAAATACACAAATTCGTTTATCTTGGAAACTATTAGAGTTAAAAGCTTACAATTTTGCAAGAAGAACTTTAGCATCCATGGAAATATTTTGGGTAATAAATTGGCGGACTACCAATGGGGGGAGTAGCACCTCCCATATGAATTAAATACAACAAAATATTTTATCTAAGAAACTAAAAGAACTAGATTCCTAAAATTTTTCAAAAAGGACTTTCATATTCATCCGATAATTTTGGGAAAAAAAGCGGACTTTCATCAGGGGGTGGCTTGGAACCCCCATATGAATTATATAGAAAAATTTGTATATCTGAGATACTGTAGAAGCTAGAATCTTCAAATTTTACATGAAGAACTTTGACATTAATGTGCAAAATTGGCGGACTTTCAATGGGGGGATTGGCCCCTAACATATTAATTAAATTCGGAAAAATTGCCGAACATGCAATAATTTGAGTGGCATCTTCCATGTGTAAGTGCTTTTAGTGTAGCAAAGCACACTGGGTATAGCTAGTTATTTATACATTTTATAATTTTTATTCAAAAATTAAACATAATTTTTATTCAAAAATTAAACATAATTTTCTAATATATTTGCAACATTAAGCAATTTTTAATATCATTACGTCCATAAAAAGGATTTTCCATAGTTTTACTGGTATAACTGATTTCATAACGTTTCATGTTATGAACTTCGGAGCATGAATATAGGTTACATTGTTTGCACTCATCTTGACCCGCCAGACACTTTTGAATTAAAGTTTCGGCCTCAGCAATGGAAGAGATGGTCTGTTTTTCAACTATATAACTGCAATCCAAAGCTTTATTGATGTTAGCTTTCGCCGAACATTCGGCAACATTCATTTGGGTGGCAAAATTCTTTTGATTGTTGATTGTATAGCTGTTAGCGGCGTTAACCTTAAAATAAGTTACTTGTATGAAATAACAGACTTTTTAATTAAAAATAAAAATCGCTTACCACATCTGTAATACACATGGTGTAGTTTAAGGGTAATGCATTATAAGTTTTTTGGCAGGAGGCAATGTCCCTTTCAAAGTTATTCTTATAATAGTTTTCCAAAGAATTTCTGGTGCTTAGAGGACTACTAAGCATACTATTAAGTTGTTGATTGGCAGTGGTGACACAATTGTTAAGTTTGGTTTTGGTAGCAGCCACGGTTGGTATTGAGGAGCGATATTTAGAAACACATTTTTGACTTAAATTGCTTAAAATTTCCAAAGGATTTAGTTTTTGTTCTGTCTGAACAAGAGTATCGATCAACATGTCCTGTCGTATGTTAATGGTATCAAGACTTGCGGCATAGGATTGCTTAAACACTTCAATTTGTTTATCATAGTCTTGGACATTTTTAGCATATTGTTGTCTATTCATATTGATATATTCATCAGTACGTACTGATGTATTATAATTGATCACATAATTGTACAGATCTAAATTTTGAGTCTATAATAAAGTAAAGTAGTATTGCTATTAAAGTCAGCCGTTTACTTAAATATGCAATAAGTTATTTAAACTTACCTCCTCTCCATTTGCCACTACCGCCAAGACAATTAGGAATAAAACCGTAATTATTTTATACATGTTTAAAATCTTTAATTTTTAATTTATTTAAAAGTTGTTAATACTGTTGGTTATTTGCCAAAGTTCTGCAATAACTAAACTACTTTTGAAACATTTCCCGGTTCTTTTATATACATTTTTTTCTATAATATATTGTTTATCAATCTTATCGCTAGTATTTCTATGGAAAAGATTTTCTAACTAAGGCGAATTTTTTATCAGTTAAAATTGAATGATTTATATTTTATTGATAAATTGCCATACAATATTGTCAATAGAAACTTTATATTCAAATTAATGTTATAAAACTTCTATAATTTTTAATTAATATTGAGTGGTTTCTTTATTCTTGATGATTAATACTAAAATTAAACCGGAAACTTACCATGCTTGTTAACATTTAGACAACGGATGTGTATAAAATTTAAATAACATCCAGTTATAATTTTGACAACTTATCTTTGTCATTACAACAATGCATTGTTGTCACTTCGATTACGCTTTGTGTCATTTCGGCAATTCTTCGTTGTAATTTCGACAACGAATCGTAGTCATTTCGACAGTGCAACGTTCTGTTTGACAATATAGCGTTGTCACTTTGGTAATACATTATTATTTTCTGTTGATTTGATAACGCCGTGTGATTTTTATATATTTGCTATTGGTATGACAACTATCCGTACATACTTTGGCAACGAATGTTATTGAAAAATTATAAACACTTTGGTGTCAATTTGGTACCAGACGTGTATAATTTTAAAACGTCTTTTTTTCCTCTGTGTATGTAAGTTAGATAAAAAAATAATTAAAAAATATGTTTTTCCCGTTATTTGTAAGTTTTCTAAGGAATTTTTTGATACCAATGTATCCAGATCCATGCTAAATATATATATTATTATGTAAAATTCGTATAGTTGATATAAAAAAATAATAACCCATTAAGTTTTAATAGTAATTATTAAAGGGTTTTGAGGCCTATTGCGTGATCAATATCAAAATATATATATTTTTTATAATTTTTTAAAACTTTTTTGGGATTAAAAATTATGTATTAAAATCTTTAAATTATGAAAAACGATCAATTATATATGGTGCTGACACCTGTATTTCAAAAAAATAGATAAGTTAAGACATGAACCACTGATCAACATCACTATAGAGGCGACATCTAATTGTTGAATAAAATTAGTCATATTAATATCCAATAGCTGTACAGTTCTCATACATTATAATAATCCGATATAGCGATCGCAATAATTCTTAACTATAAAGTGGTAATTAATCGAAAAAAATGAACCGACTTCAACCAATTCAAATATGAATTAATATTCTTATAAAAGTATTTAGTTTTGATTAAAACTGTTAAGACAGGCATAACAACTTAGTTGTATATATCCCGAAAATCGGGACTGCATATAACATCCCCTTTAGAAAATGACTTTAAACTCTCATAGCTGGCTTTAAAACACCAAATTGGACTTAAACTAGTTCTACAAAAAAAAACTTGAGGATCGCAACATTAGTATATTTTCCTTGAAATGTGGAAACATTAAGTATTGAGATCAGATTTGACAATAATTATATACTCAAGACACCATTAAAGATTCTCTTCTGAAAATCATCATGATGCAACCTTATATAAAAACAAGTTAGAGTGCTATATTCGACTGAGTCGAATCTTAAATACCCTCCACCAGCTACTTTGATATTAATACTTTTCTAATTGATCAAATATTTGTAGAAATTAGTTTTCTCATGTCTTAAATAGAAAAAATCCCAAGATTTATTTAATTTTGTAATAAGTTATGAGTATTTATGTGATTTTCTGAAGGGAAACATGTATGGGACCGACCGCACCCATGCTATGAACCGATCGTGAAAAAATCTTGAAATATAATTTTTGTACACAAAACTAATATTTGTGCTATTTGGTAATGAGTAATGTGCGTTTAAGAGATTTTCGGAAAAGGACCTTGTATGTGAGCTATGACCAATTATGTACATATATAAAGACAAAATTTCAAAATTCTGTATCTATATCATTATTTGGTAATGAATATTGTGCATTTAAGTGATTTTCTGGAGGGGACCTAGTATGAGAGCTATGACCAAATATGGACTGATTGCTAAACAATTTTATAGTGTAAGTTATGTATATAAGAGCAATATTTGTGCTAAATGTATATATATCAATATTTTGTAATGAGTTATGTGCGTTTAAGTGATTTTCTGGAGGGGACCTTGTATGGGAGCTATGACCAATTACGGACCGATCCGAAAAAAACTTCCATAATAATATTTCTGTATATGTGAGCAATACTTGTACCAAATTTTATATGGATATCTTAATTTAGTAATGAGTTATGTGCGTTTAATTGATTTTCAGAAGGGGACCTTGTAATATTTCTATATGTGAGAGAAATACTTGTACCAAACTTTATATGGATATTTTAATTTAGTAATGAGTTATGTGTGTTTAAGTGATTTTCGGGATTGGGCCTTCTACGGAGCTATGACCAATTATGGACCGATCGGAAAAAAATTTCATAGTAATATTTATATATGTGAGAGCAAAACATGTGACAAACTTTATATGCATATTTTAATTTAGTAATGAGTCATGTGTGTTTAAGTGATTTTCGGTAGGGGACCTCGTATGGGAGCTATGACCAATTATGGACCGATCGGAAAAAAATTTCATAGTAATATTTCTGTATATGTGAGCAATACTTGTACCAAATTTTATATGGATATCTTGATTTAGTAATGAGTTATGTGCGTTTAAGTGATTTTCGGGAGGGGACCTTGTATGGGAGCTATGAACAATTATCGACCGATCGGAAAAAAATTTCACAGCAATATTTCCGTGCATATGAGCAATACTTGTACCAAATTTTGTATGAATATCTTAATTTAGTAATGAGTTATGTTCGTTTAAGTGATTTTCGGGAGGGGACCTTGTATGGGAGCTATGACCAATTATGGACCGATCGGAGAAAAATTTCACAGTAATATTTCTCTATATATGAGCAATACCTATGACAAACTTTATATGGATATCTTAATTTAGTAATGAGTTATGTGCGTTTAAGTAATTTTCGGGAGGGGACCTTGTATGGGAGCCATGACCAGTTATGAACCGATCGGAAAAAAATTTCTCAGTAATATTTCCGTGCATATAAGCAATACTTGTACCAAATTTTACATGGATACCTTAATTTAGTAATGAGTTATGCACGTTTAAGTGATTTCCGGGAGGGGACCTTGTATGGGAGCTATGACTAATTATGGACCGATCGGAAAAAACTTTCACAGTAATATTTCTGTGCATGTGAGCAATACTTATTCCAAATTTTATATGGATATCTTAATTTAGTAATGAGTTATGCGCGTTTAAGTGATTTTCGGGAGGGGATCTTGTATGGGAGCTATGTCCAATTATGGACCAATCCAGAGAATTTTTTCTCTTAATGAATTCTATTAACATAAGATTTTAATTTGTAAAATTTTGTGAAGATATCAACATTCTGACGAAAGTTATTAACAAAAAACTCATTTTCCGGCAATATGCACTTTTGTATGGGAGGTATATGAAATTATGGACCGATTCTGGCAATTTTCAGCAGAAAGAAATATCTTGTGTAGAAACGAATGTATGATGACTTTCGAGAAAATTACATCAGAATGTGTAAGAAATGCTTATTTTTTTCGAGGTTGTTTTAAATTTTGATTCATAACTTTTCCCAATGTGAACCGATTTTGCTCATTTTCAATACCAAACTGTACCGGATAATAATGAATGTTTTGGGTGAATTTGGTTAAATTATATTGCTTCGATTTAACGTGAGCGTGTTTTACACAGACAGACAGACGGACGGACGGACAGACGGACATAGCTAAATCGACTCAGAATTTCATAAGGACCCAGAATATATATACTTTGTTGAGTCTCAGATGAATATTTCTTGGTGTTACACACGGAATGACAAAGTTATATATACCCTCTATCACCACAGATGGTGGTGGAGGGTATAATTAATATCTTACACCCACTATTGTGGTGTAGGATATAATTAGATTTTTGATATCAAATATTTCTCACCAAAGATAAAGGTCATTTAATTAGTAACACAACGAAAAATGCATCAAAATCTAAAAATATTACCTCTATAAGCTTTGAGTGATATTGAAGATCGACAATATCGGTGTAGGATTTTATCTAAATAACACTCAGTGTTGTTATATGTTAGTTATCTGATACTGTTGAACAATTTTAAGATTTTTAACCGAAAAGGTTAAAAATGTTTAATAATGGGATTGACTTGCACATGTTTTTATACCCTTCATCTCCGACTACGAAAACCCACTTTTTAGTTAAGTTTGTTTTCAAATGTCCGTCTGTGTGTCTGTCCGGGTATATGTTGAAATCTGCGAATCTGCGAAATCCGCACATATAAATTTGATATCAGCAGAAATTGTATTACCAAATAAAACATGGATCGGTCCATAATTGGTCCACTTCCGAAAATCAATTACATATGTAAGTAAGTAAATAAAAGATATTTATCAACATCAGAAAGATTATTAGAATAGAGTTTTGAATCCATTATATACATATATACCCAATTCTACAGAATCATTTAAGTCTTTTTTGTCTTCTTATATTGGTAAGCTGGTGCTCTTAAAATGTTATAGTGTGATAACTGTGAAGGGATGCGACCTTGAGTAAGTTAACCTGACAAATGCGAAACCGTTAGATGCAACGAGGACTAAATTAGCAAGTTACAGTGTGTAAAAGGAACATAATATTAATACATGACTTTAAAATATTTTATTGAAAAACATGTTTGGATTATAGTCATTAATATTTTACTAATTGAAAATTCCAAATACATACTTAATTATCAAAAGTAAATAAAAACAAAGTAAATATATACACATACTATATATGTATGTACACTAGGGTGACCCCGTTTTTATGGGGAGGAAATAAAGTACAAATGATTCTAGCGAAAATGAAAGTTTAATTCATTTAATGATATAGTTTCTCAAAATTGTTGTTTTGGGGCCACCTTATGTACATCCATAAAATGTAAAATTGTAACTACTTATTTATCCATATGTATTTCCTATTGAAATTGAGTCTTTACGTTTAATGTATATAAAACAATCTTTGGAGTGGTGTTGTTGATAGAAAGGATTCATTATAATTGCTTTTTCGGTAAATGAGAAATCATCCACGTAAATTGGATTGGAACATAAATGGTCGGGATTGCAGGGTTGGCACACATCTTCGTTCACTATACATTTATTGATCAAAGCATTGGATTCCGAAATTGCGGAAATTGTACGATTTTGTAGATCAAATGAACAATCAACAGCTCTTTCCATTAATTTGTCGGCTAAACATTTGGCAAAATGCATTTGGGATTTAAATTTCTTTAGATTGGTTATCGCATAAATATTTGTGCTGGAGGTCTAAAACGTAAAAATAAAAATAATACTAGAGTTAAAACATTTTATAGCTTTTAAGAATGGAATGTATTTTGATTATAATTTTCTATAGACTATAGATTAGACTATAAACTAGAATATAGGCTACCGTATAATCTACACTATAGACTATACTATAGGCTACACTATACACTAGACTATAGACCACACTAAAGACTATACTATAGACCATACTATAGACTAGACTATAGACCATAGACTATAGACTAGACTATAGACATGACTATAGACTAGAATATAGACTATAGACTTGACTATAGACATGACTATAGACTAGACTATAGACTATAGACCATAGACTATAGACTAGACTATGGACTAGACTATAGACTAGACTATAGACTAGACTAGACTATAGACTAGACTATAGACTAGACTATAGACTAGACTAGACTATAGACTAGACTATAGACTAGACTATAGACTAGACTATAGACTAGACTATAGACTAGACTATAGACTAGACTATAGACTAGACTATAGACTAGACTATAGACTAGACTATAGACTAGACTATAGACTAGACTATAGACTAGACTATAGACTAGACTATAGACTAGACTATAGACTAGACTATTGACTGGACTATAGACTAGACTATAGACTAGACTATAGACTAGACTATAGACTAGACTATAGACTAGATTATAGACTAGACTATAGACTAGACTATTGACTGGACTATAGACTAGACTATAGACTAGACTATAGACTAGACTATAGACTAGACTATAGACTGGACTATAGACTAGACTATAGACTAGACTATAGACTAGACTATAGACTAGACTATAGACTAGACTATAGACTAGACTATAGACTAGACTATAGACTAGACTATAGACTAGACTATAGACTAGACTATAGACTAGACTATAGACTAGACTATAGACTAGACTATAGTCTAGACTATAGACTAGACTATAGACTAGACTATAGACTAGACTATAGACTAGACTATAGACTAGACTATAGACTAGACTATAGACTAGACTAGACTAGACTATAGACTAGACTATAGACTAGACTATAGACTAGACTATAGACTAGACTATAGACTAGACTATAGACTAGACTATAGACTAGACTATAGACTAGACTATAGACTAGACTATAGACTAGACTATAGACTAGACTATAGACTAGACTATAGACTAGACTATAGACTAGACTATAGACTAGACTATAGACTAGACTATAGACTAGACTATAGACTAGACTATAGACTAGACTATAGACTAGACTATAGACTAGACTATAGACTAGACTATAGACTAGACTATAGACTAGACTATAGACTAGACTATAGACTAGACTATAGACTAGACTATAGACTAGACTATAATAGACTATAGACTAGACTATAGACTAGACTATAGACTAGACTATAGACTAGACTATAGACTAGACTATAGACTAGACTATAGACTAGACTATAGACTAGACTATAGACTAGACTATAGACTAGACTATAGACTAGACTATAGACTAGACTATAGACTAGACTATAGACTAGACTATAGACTAGACTATAGACTAGACTATAGACTAGACTATAGACTAGACTATGACTAGACTATAGACTAGACTATAGACTAGACTATAGACTAGACTATAGACTAGACTATAGACTAGACTATAGACTAGACTATAGACTAGACTATAGACTAGACTATAGACTAGACTATAGACTAGACTATAGACTAGACTATAGACTAGACTATAGACTAGACTATAGACTAGACTATAGACTAGACTATAGACTAGACTATAGACTAGACTATAGACTAGACTATAGACTAGACTATAGACTAGACTATAGACTAGACTATAGACTAGACTATAGACTAGACTATAGACTAGACTATAGACTAGACTATAGACTAGACTATAGTCTAGACTATAGACTAGACTATAGACTAGACTATAGACTAGACTATAGACTAGACTATAGACTAGACTATAGACTAGACTATAGACTAGACTATAGCCTAGACTATAGACTAGACTATAGACTAGACTATAGACTAGACTATAGACTAGACTATAGACTAGACTATAGACTAGACTATAGACTAGACTATAGACTAGACTATAGACTAGACTATAGACTAGACTATAGACTAGACTATAGACTAGACTATAGACTAGACTATAGACTAGACTATAGACTAGACTATAGACTAGACTATAGACTAGACTATAGACTAGACTATAGACTAGACTATAGACTAGACTATAGACTAGACTATAGACTAGACTATAGACTAGACTATAGACTAGACTATAGACTAGACTATAGACTAGACTATAGACTAGACTATAGACTAGACTATAGACTAGACTATAGACTAGACTATAGACTAGACTATAGACTAGACTATAGACTAGACTATAGACTAGACTATAGACTAGGACTATAGACTAGACTATAGACTAGACTATAGACTAGACTATAGACTAGACTATAGACTAGACTATAGACTAGACTATAGACTAGACTATAGACTAGACTATAGACTAGACTATAGACTAGACTATAGACTAGACTATAGACTAGACTATAGACTAGACTATAGACTAGACTATAGCTAGACTAGACTATAGACTAGACTATAGACTAGACTATAGACTAGACTATAGACTAGACTATAGACTAGACTATAGACTAGACTATAGACTAGACTATAGACTAGACTATAGACTAGACTATAGACTAGACTATAGACTAGACTATAGACTAGACTATAGACTAGACTATAGACTAGACTAGACTATAGACTAGACCATAGACTAGACTATAGACTAGACTATAGACTAGACTATAGACTAGACTATAGACTAGACTATAGACTAGACTATAGACTAGACTATAGACTAGACTATAGACTAGACTATAGGCTAGACTATAGACTAGACTATAGACTAGACTAGACTATAGACTAGACTATAGACTAGACTAGACTATAGACTAGACTATAGACTAGACTATAGACTAGACTATAGACTAGACTATAGACTAGACTATAGACTAGACTATAGACTAGACTATAGACTAGACTATAGACTAGACTATAGACTAGACTATAGACTAGACTATAGACTAGACTATAGACTAGACTATAGACTAGACTATAGACTAGACTATAGACTAGACTATAGAGACTATAGACTAGACTATAGACTAGACTATAGACTACTAGACTATAGACTAGACTAGACTAGACTATAGACTAGACTATAGACTAGACTATAGACTAGACTATAGACTAGACTATAGACTAGACTATAGACTAGACTATAGACTGGACTATAGACTAGACTATAGACTAGACTATAGACTAGACTATAGACTAGACTATAGACTAGACAATAGACTAGACTATAGACTAGACTATAGACTAGACTATAGACTAGACTATAGACTAGACTATAGACTAGACTATAGACTAGACTATAGACTAGACTATAGACTAGACTATAGACTAGACTATAGACTAGACTATAGACTAGACTATAGACTAGACTATAGACTAGACTATAGACTAGACTATAGACTAGACTATAGACTAGACTATAGACTAGACTATAGACTAGACTATAGACTAGACTATAGACTAGACTATAGACTAGACTATAGACTAGACTATAGACTAGACTATAGACTAGACTATAGACTAGACTATAGACTAGACTATAGACTAGACTATAGACTAGACTATAGACTAGACTAGACTAGACTATAGACTAGACTATAGACTAGACTATAGACTAGACTATAGGCTAGACTAGTATATTAGCTATTTATCAAAAGTTTATATGTTAGAAAAAGTACCGAATATGTCGTGGGGGTACCACGGTGTTTTTCGATTTCAAAAAGTACTGAACAAATTATTCAAATACTGAATCATGCCTTTTCTGGGTCCTTATCTAATTTGAACCGTGTTTTTTCTTAGCATGACTAGAAAATATTTATTAAATAAATAGATATTTTAAAAATACTCACCGCACTGGTAACGCAATGAATAAAATCCATCGAAAATGGACTAAATTTTTTGCGACAATTTGAGATCTCCCTATCGTAATTATTGTTGTAATAGGAAAACAACCCATCTCTAGTTTTTTGAGGTTTAATTAAGAAGGTACTGAATTTGTCATTGATTCCCTGTGTACAATTCCTGATGGACTGCTTAGTAGCCGATGACGAGGGTATCAACGGGCGATATTTCGCAATACAACGTTTATTCAAATCACTTAAAACTTCCAAACCTTTTAAAATTTGCTCATATATGAATAGTTTATAAATCAGCAAATCATCATGTACATTAATTTTATCGATACGATCTTCATAAAGTTTTGTAAAATCTTTAAGTTTTACTTCACAATTTTGTAAAACATTAGCAAAATGTAATTTATTTAGATAAATATAATCATCGACATAATCATTAGAACGGTTATAAATTTGAGGCTGTAAGAAGTTTTTGTACTTATTATCATGGATTTGTAATTTGGAAAAATTTAAAACATATGTAACTAACCGGTAGTACTGCTAAAGCCAGAGTTAAAAATAACATTCCAAATATTGAAATTAAATTGTACATTTTCGTTAACAATTGCTAGCAAATTTATATTAATTTTATTTATTTATTTATTTAATATTACTTTTTTTAAATTTTGAGGTCTTGAACAAAAGGGTGTAAAAATTTCAATGTCCTGTTTGTTGTCTCATAAGTTTAAAAACAATTCACAGGATTTTAATTATATATTTATTTTTAAACTAATATTTTATTCCAATTAACTATAATATGACTTCTATCTATATACGGTACAAAAATACTTTTTAAAACATTTTACTTTAAATTGAACTTTTTAAAACAAAAACTGATATTTTATATGGAAACCCTTGACCAATTGAAAAAACGTGAAAATAATTTAATTTAACATACATTTTGTATTACCTATGGTTCATTATAAAAAAACTGTTCAGTTGAAATTTGGACTGACTCTACTTTGAACTTTAGTGACCCTAGTGTGAGGATCTCCATAGAGTTTTATTCATCCACTGTCCAAAGTTTCATTCTGAGTCAATAATGTTTTGTCTCGAAACATCCAAAATTTACACAAACCAATTATAATTTTAAACATGTTCAACAAAACTATTTAATTCATTTAATTAATGAATTAAATAATTTTAAATTTTATTGTTATCGAATATTTAATTTATACCATTAATGAATTAAATAATTTTAGATTTTGGTTTAATTATAGGCATAAGAAGAAAGGGCAAAACCTTGCCCGCATTATCTCCAATATCCTATAGTCCCAATTGACATTTACTAATCAAATTATTGACCTCAACGATTAAAGAAATTGTACGTTTTTCTATCTGAAAACTACAATCAAAAGCTGTTTTAATAATAACAATTGATGACTGATCGGCTGCAGACATTTGTGTATCAAAATTATTTTGATTACTGGTAGTAAAAATATTTGAAGTGTTAATCTTTAATGAAAGAAAAAAAAAAAACAGTATAAAATTGAAACTGGAGAAAACTTTAAAATACTCACCACACTTGTAACACAATCATTGTAATTAACCGATGTATTGTCCAAATTCTCGCTACAATCTCTAAGCTTTATATCGAAATAACCGTAATAATAGCCTATTAAATACATTTTGGTATTTTCAGGTTCATTTAGCAAATTGCTATACTGATTTTTGGCTATATTTACACAACTTAAAATAGATGTTTTAGTGTCCGCTACTGTAGGTAGGGTAGACCGATATTTGATGACACATTCTTTGGTGGACTCATTAGAACCTTCTAACGAATTTAAATTTCCTTCATTCTGTAGCATACTATCTGTTAGCATATTCTGTTGTATTCCAATTCCATCTAAACGTGCATTATAAACTTTTTGAAAAATATTCAAACGATTGTTATAATCTTGCAACATGTTGGCATATTTTTGACGGTTTTGATTGATATATTCATCGATATTAGCTACTGATCTGCTGTTGGAATTAGTGGTGAAAGTGATTTCATTTTCCATCTGTAAGGTTTGTATTAATATTATAGTGAATATTAAATTTTACAAATAACTTACCCGACCCTTTGTTAAGACTACAAATAACAAAATTACAGCAAATAATTTAAACATTTCTTAATAGAGTTCTAGTACTATTCTTTCCAAATTTCATCAATTTAATAACATTTTTTCTTAAATATTTATACTTATAACAGTTAAAATCTTATCATTTAATTGGAGAAAATTCATTCTGGTAATTCGGGTATCTTTTTTACGTTTCCTTTGTCTGTTGGCTTATCAATAAAACTGATTGATTGCTTTAGGTTTATGGTGAAAGTTTGACACCGAGTAAGTAACATGTTTTCTTTAACATGAGTTTTTGAAGACAATTATGAACGTTAATATAATTTTATTTGATGGCTAGGACCAAATATGGCCCAATATTCATCATACTTTACAATAAATATTATATCATTTCCCCTTATTTATCAATATCCAGATACTTATGAAATTCAATGAGTATCTAATTGCGTCCCTTTATCAGTTACAACAGTACAAGCAAGTACAAACAAGTTCCAGGAGAGGAAAACGGGAGATGATAAATTCCGCAAAATTTTCAAAATTTGTTCAATTGATTAGAAATGGATATGAGTCAGAATTTTTCTGGCGTCCTTCGTCTAGACTATAGACTGGTGGCCAAAACATTATTTTCTAAGCAGTTATCAACTGGGCCCAAATTACGGCATACGATATCGATCGAAATCTCAATAGAATCTAAATGGAGATTTCGATCGATATCGTATGCCATAATTTGAGCCCTGGTCTTGGTACCGACCCAATGTTAGTAGTAGTTAGTATGATCGAATATTATGGCTTAATGTCTGGTCGCATATTCCTTTAGTATGTTGGTTAATATTCGCTTCAAATTAATTAATTATATTCGATCCATGTCAGGAACGTTATCTCTCCTGATAATTTCTGTGATACCTGCATACCTCAAAGGGAAGTCGGTGGAGACAGCCTTGCATGACGTTGACGGAACTATAGAGAAGGCACTTGACATAAAAGAGTATGTTATGGCATCTTTCTTGGACATATAAGGTGCGTTTAATAACGTGAACATATCCACAATAATCGACGCACTGGGTGACCTAGGTGTTGATCGGCGGATAAAAAATTGGACAGAAAACATGCTCAAGAGTAGGGCCATTAACTCGAGTATGGGTATTGGCAATACAAGAGAAGTTGTGACAAGAGACACACCACAAGGTGGTGTCATCTCTCCACTCCTTTTCAGACTCAGTAGGATTGGCTTCAAAGTAGTCACATATGCTGACGACGTTGTGCTTCTTATTCAAGGGAAATTTCTTTCAAAATTAAGTGAACTCTCATCGTTCTGCTATCATGGGTCAGGAAATAGTGTCTGGTTATCAACCCTGCCTAAACCGAACTGGTTCTTTTCACCTGGAGATACAAAATCGCAGAATTCAGACCTCCACGTTTGAATACCTCAAACGAAGCCAAATTTTAGAATCTAAGCTCACCTGGCAACGTAATGCTGAGAGTCGAATGAAGAAGCCACTTTGTGCCTTCTATATATGTAAGAAAACCTTTGGAAAAATATGGGGTCTCAAACCATACATTGTACACTGGATGTACACCGCGGTCATAAGACATATTTTGACCTACAGAGCTCTTGTTTGGCGGAGACTCACCTCTCTATTCTAAAAAAGGTACAAAGGCTATGAGCTCCACTCCTCAGACCAGTCTAGAGACGATGCTAAATATAACTCCCCCTGACACATATAACAAATGCATTTCTTCTTAATCTGCTCTACGACTTTAACAGTCGAACGGACTGAAGCATGATCGCATTGGTCATGGCACCATCCTACAAAATATGGGCAGGCCAATCATGGGGCAGGAAACGGACTACATACTATCAACACTAAATTTAAATAAGTCATTCAAGACCAGAATGCCGACAAGGGATGATTGGGCCGCAAACACAGTCCTAAGGGACGACGTTATCTCAATCTACACTGATGTTTCAAACACAGAAAGGGGCACGGGATCGGGAATCTTCTCCGAACAACTGAATCTTCTGCTGTCTCTTCGACTACCTGATACCTGCACAGCCTTTCAGGAAGATCGATACAGCAGCGAGAAGAATCTCGAAAATTCGACTATACATATATAAACTTGCAACAATCAAGGCTCTTAACTCCAATGTTATTAAGTCGAAATGTCTTATCAATTGTATTCAATCATTGGCACAACTGACACAACATCACGTTGAGTTGATATGGGTTCCAGGACATGAGGGTCGAAGATTTAACCCTTGCGCAAAGAGATATTCACACTCCTCTGGTGACCCCATCAAAATTGATAGATGACTGGGCTTTGAGTGAGACGGAACTCAGATGGTCAAATATCACCACTTGTAGAATATCGGGACTGCTCTGGCCCATACTGACAACGGATAGGACTAGGACTCTCTTGTCTTTTAGGCTTCTCACTGGTATAATTACTGGCCACTGTATGATTGGACATATGAACGGAACGTATGGGCTACCCACGTTATAGCTACTGTAGAAGCTGTTTGGACTAGGAAGAAGAGGAATCAGTACAACATCTTCTATGTGACTACCCAGCCTTACAAGAGCACATATTACCATATCTAGGTAAAGCTCTTTTCCATAATCTGGACTGTCTTAGAGATGCGTCACTAGTAAACATGATCGGTTTTATTAGAAATATCGGCTGGTTTTCATGGGAACCGCAAGAACTAAGTAGTCAACGAAATTAGGGAGGAAAATCATTCTCTCAATATAAGAGTATGGTAATTCTAAGGGTATCACAATGGACCATAAGACCCATCAGAGTTTTTATTACTTATTCATATATTCGACTTGTCTTATAAACTTTTTGAGATAAAACAAACATAAACATTTGCTAAGTAGCCCATTTTAATAGGCATTTATTTAAACTTCATTAAAATATAAAAAATTTAAGAATTATGATTAATCTCCAACATTAAACAATCTTTCAAGTATTCCCGACCATAGAAAGGATTACGCATGGTTTCATTTTTATAATCCACTTCGGAATAACGCAAGTAAAACACATCTGAACAGGTATAACCTTGATTGCATTGTCTGCAATCATCTTGACCCATCAGACACTTATTGATCAAGGTATTGACCTCAGCGATTTGGGTAATTGTGCGATTTATAACCAGGAAACTGCAATCTAAAGCTTTCTTAATATTGGCATTCGACGAACAGTCGGCTGAGTCCATTTGTGTAGCAAAGGTCTTTTGATTGTTGATCGTATAGGTATTGGTAGTGGTGGTCTACAAATTAGGGAAATCGTAAGTATTTTTCAAATTTTCAAAGGAACTTCTTTCAAATACTCACCACACTGGTAACACATAAGGTATAATTTGCTGTTTTATTATCAAACTTCTTGCCACAATTCGTAATTTCCTTTTCGAAATAATTGGTATAATAGTTTTGTAAGGAATTCTTAGTGTTAGTGGGATTAGTTAATAAACTATTGACCTGATTAGTGGCTGTAGTTCTACAACTAGCGATAGAAGATTTAGTATATGCCACTGTTGGTATTGTAGAACGATATTTGGTGACACATTCTTTGCTGAAATCACTTAAAAGTTCTTGGGGATTTAAACGCTCTTCATTTTGCACCAAACTATCGATTAACATAGCTTCTTGTATCTCAATACCATCGACACGTCCGGCATAGAGTTGTCTAAATTTATTGATTTGATTCTCGTATTCCTGTAAAGTTTTGGCGTACTGCAGACGATTGAGATTGATATAATCATCGGTACGAGCTACAGAGCTCGATTGTTGATTATTACTACTTAAGGCGGTTACATTTTGAACCTAAAGGGAAATATTGCTTTGAAAATGTCTATACTTTTATAAGAATCCTTTTGCTCTTATAACTTACCTGTGCCGTTGCCACCACCACACTTAGTATTAATACTCCAATTAATTTAAACATTTTTTAAAAACAATTTTAATACTATTCTCTTGCCAATTGTCTTAAAATCACTAAATAATTCTTATATTTTCCAGCTTTTTATATATCACAGTTTTGAAACTTTTTCTTATCGCTTAATATCTTTAACATCTATTTTTATAATTTTTCTGGTGAAAATTCTTTAAACTAATTCGGGTACTTTTTTTTTTACTTCGATGCCATTGTCGGTTTGTTGTCTTATCAGTTTAAAATATTTTATTGCTTCATAAATATGAATTAAATTTAATAATTTGTTTCTGTTTACATAATTTTTTTTCTTCTCACTTCCCATTGATAAATTCGCAAGTGTTTAATTGTTTAAGTGTTGCTATATATTTATTTAAAATTAAGGTTTTATTATTTTCTTCTTTAAGATACATACTTTTTATATATGGGAAAATATTTCACCTGTCTTATCAGTTAAAATGAGGGTAGAACGGTTTTCAATTAAACTATAAGTTTAGTTAAACTACAATTATAAATGAAATTTTGTTAAACTTTATTATCACAACGCATAATCATTTCTTTATCTATATATAAAATATATTTTCTAAAATTTCACCTTTGTAGGGGGGCTGGGTTCAAATAATGCCCCCAATACGAAAATTGGCAATCTAATTTAAGCTTGTATAAAACTCGGAGGTCTCGTGACCCATTGTGATACCCTTAGAATTACCATTCCCTAACATAGAGAGAATGGTTTCCCTCCCTAATTTCGTTGACTACTTGGTTCGTTCGGTCTCCGTGTAAACCAGACGGTGCTTTTAATAAAACCGATGATGTTTTATTGACACACTCTGTTGTTAGAGTGTGTCAGAGCAGTCTCGACATTCTACAAGTGGTGATATTTGATCACCTGAGTTCCGTTTCACTCAAAGCCCATTCATCTAGCAATTTTTATAGGGTCGTTAGGGGAGTGTGACTATCCATTTGCGCAAGTGTTAAGTCTAAGGACGACCCTTTGGTTGCACATTCATCAGATATTTCATTTCCCCGGATGCCTTCATGTCCTGGAACCCATATCAACTCAACGTGATGTTGTGTCAGTTGTGCCAATTATTGAAAACAATTCAGCAGACATTTCGACTTAATAACATTGAAGTTAAGAGCCTTGATTGATGCAAGACTGTCCAAGTATATATGTATAGTCGAATTTTCGAGTTTTAGTTCCCGGATATCTCTGCCTGAAGGACCTTGCAGGTGACAGGTAGTCGAAGAGACAGTAGACGATTTAGTTTTTCGGAAAAGATTTCCGATCCCGTGCTCCTTTCTGTCTTTGAGCCATCAGTATAGATTGAGATCACGTCGTCACTTAGGACAGTGTTCGCGGCCCAATCATCCCTTGTCGGTACTGTGGTCTTGAATGACCTATTAAAATTCAGTGTAGATAGAATGTAGTCTGTTTCCTGCCCCATGATTGGCCTGTCTATCTTTTGTAGGATGGTGCCATGACCAATGCGGTCAATCCGTTCGACTGTTTAAGTTGTAGAGCAGATTTAGCAGAAGTGCATTTGATGTATATATCATCGTCTCTAGACAAGCCTGAGGGGTGAAGCTCAAACATCCAGTGATTGCAAGACATGCTATTTACAGTAGAGAGATAAGTCTTAGAATCCACCGCTCTCCACCAAACAAGAGCTGCATAGGTCAGAATGGGTCTTATAACCGCGGTGTACATCCAGTGCACAATGTATGGTTTAAGACCCCATCTTTTTCCAAAGTTTTCTTACATATATAGAAGGCACATAATGCCTTCTTCATTCGACTCTCAGTACTACGTTTCCACGTGAGCTTAGAGTCTAAAATTACGCCAAGATATTTTTCTTCGCTTGAAGTATTCAGAATGGTACCATCCATATGCGGAGTTCTGAATTCTAGAATTTTGCACCTCCTGGTGAAAAGAACCAGTTCAGTTTTGGCCGAGTTGACACCCAGACCGTTTTCCTTGGCCCATGATAGTAGAACGCTGAGGGCTGATTCCATGAGTTCGCTTAAATAAGAAGCACAACGTCGTCAGCACATCCAAATCGGAAAAAAAGTTAGGTCACTTGACACGAAATTGCCCATATATAAAGTTCATAGCCCTATTTTTGATGTCCGGTTGTATGGGGGCTATCTAAAATAATGCACTGATTTCAACCTAAATTAGGGTCTAAAAGTCAAAAACTTTATAAGTGACAATGGGTCAAAGTTTGAAATTTTTGCCAAAGAGTTATTAGTTACAGTGGGTCAAAATTTGACATTTTTGCCAAAGATGTGTTTCTTCCTATTTATGTAATTGTTCATTAAAAAAATTAAAAATAGTTTAGTTTAATAATAATTTAATTTAAAACATTTTAATACATTTGTGCAAATACAATCAAGTACACAAATAAATAAATATTTTCTAATTTACACATAATTAAAATTTATTACTCGTTTTGACGTTATTTGCTTTTATTTAAGTTTCAATTTTAATTATTAGAATGTAGTATTTGATTTATACACCCACTGGCGTATGACACATTTTTTCAGTTTCCATAACGGTAAACTACAAATTAAACGTTTATTATTAAATAAAAAAACAGAAAAATAAAATTGTGCAACAAAATAAATCAAGAACGTGTGTTATAGACATCGTGCCGAATAACTAGAACCAAAAATCTGAAGTGTTAAAGATTTTGTTCCGATTTAGTTTGAAATAAGATAATCTTAACATTATTAAGGAAATTTGATTCGAAATTTCATGATCGAATTTTGACATTGTTAATAAACTACTTATTCTGCTTGATTCTGCCCCGCTTACGGACCTATATAGTTATATCATAGCCATTCTACCGAATAATAAACCTTTAAACAATTTTTTCTGAAAATGAGAACTGTACAGTACTTGTCCCCCGGGTCATGTTTCCTTGATGAAAGAGCCTTATCTTGGTGTATTGCAATCCCGCGGTAAAGAGGTGCTAATAGTACCTACAGTCTGACGGGACTATAAACTAATGATGTCACTTCACTCCTCGACTAGTCCTTAGTATGATTTGACATGGGGTCTAATAAGAGAACCACATAATCTGGTACTACGGGTGGCCAGTTGCCCGCATGACTTGTCCTGGCTGGTCAGTTGGTTGAGGTTCCTTGGGGATCCATGTAGTGGCTGTGGTTTAAACCCAAATTCGCGGGAATAGTGAGTTGCGGTTAAGTGACTGATGCACGGTTAAATCTTCATTTCGGGTTCGGTGCTGTTGCCGAACGACAACAGATACCCCACAGAGGAGTGAGTGTGCGACTAAGCGTTGGAATTCAGTTGGTGTTAATTGTATATGATACAGGAGAAATGTAGGGGTATATGGGCCTTGCCCAGACGTATACCTGGAGTAAGTGTGTTGTTCTTTGTCGGATTAATGAGAAGTGTGCTGGGTTCAATGCTGATGGATGAAAGTGATACCATTGAATTTTCCTTCCTTGTCCAGGTATTTTCAGAGTAAACTCAGTTTATACCAGAAGAACAAAGTCTCGGCTTATTTGATGGATTCGTATTTCGGTCTAGCGGTTAAGTCTCTATGTGCTGTTGCCGACTCAACAGAGGCCATTCCATCCGCGTGCTTGTAAACGGAAGTGATGTTTTTTTTTTCATCTCGGAAGTTAAGAAACGGGGCAGCAATGGTCAGAGATTTGATAGCTCAAGTACTTGAGCAAGGTGCACGTATACTGGACTGGAAGTTCCAATATACGTAAATTGCCACTTGCGTGTAAGAAGCACAATGGGGCGGTGGTGAGTCGTCACAAAAGCTTACCAAGTAGTATAATTTTAACCTTTCGTATAATTTCTACAATTTAACTGTACGATCTTATAATGTATATCTAGCTTATTTCATTTAGACCGACTATTTTAAATATAATAATGACCTAGAATATATGTACATATGGGGGATTTCATGTCAAATGACCCATCTTTTGAAACCGATGTCTTCTTTAGACACAATTTTTCAACAACATCGATCAAGACGTTTCTGAGTAAGAAATATCGTTTCTCCAATCGGTTTCATCCCGAACTGTTTAAAAATTTGGGTCACTTAACATGGAATCCCCCATATGCATGTATGTATATACTTTTTGATTTTACGACCAGTATTACAAATGGAATGAAAAAATCAATATATAGAATCGGAAATTTGACAGTTTGTGAATCATTTTATCAAAGAAACCCAATAAGGGAGCTAGGTCCAATTCAAGACTAATCATCAGAACATTTGTTAAGTGAATTTAGCTTAATAAAAAAAGTTACATAGCGATATTAATATTACGAGCTTAAGCCATATTAAATTTAAAATAAATTCGTGTTGCAATTATTTAAATCTGTTGCTCCTAACATTGCCTAATGTAGCGTGAATAGAAAGTCTTTGCTTTACTTATTAGCAAGTTAACAAATAAAACCCACACTGAACCCAAACAAAAAATAAATAATAAACAAATTTAATTATTATCATTATTATTATTGCTTTTATTACATAATATTGTAGTAGTAACAATTTAATTTTTTTTTTCGTTTTTTTTATTATAATTTAAAATTAAAAATAAATAATTTGTCTTAAAAACTACGTCATGTTATGTTAAAATCTAATAATAAACTAATGATTTAAACAAAAAAAGTAACAAACAGAAACATGTTTTAATTAAAAACAAATTTTCAATATTCCCTTAGTATTTAAATTAGATCTGTTGAGTATTAACTTCCCTTTCACCCAACATCTAATTTACACGCTTAAAACGATTAGCTTCAGCGTAATCACGAGGATCGGAGAAATTCCTTTCGGGTAATATACGCACATCGTTGGGATCCGTTTGGAATTCACCATTCCACGAAGTCGGCAAAATGGTGGGTTCAGTATTGTATTGAAAGTATTTAGAATCATCTGAACGATTACGTTCCTGCTGCATCAAAACTTCACCACTTTTTTTAAACGTACCATCCCATTCAGTGGGTAAAATTATGGGTTCATTGCAGTAGCCATAGAAATTTTGGGTATCGGTTATATTTTGATTGTAACGACGTACTTTTGATACATTATTTGTAGAACCGGGTGGATAAACAAATTTGCCATTCCAGCCTTCACATTTAATGGGTATGTAATCGTCTTTCTTTTTTAAAGGCATTTTATATATTTTTTTTTTGAATTTCCTTTTACTTATTTCAATTTCACCGGATATTTTTCAACCGTTTCGTTTGCGTTTCAAAACTAGACTGTTATTTTGTAAGCTGTGTTCCGAGTATTAAAATATGAAATTTTATTTTCTTAAACCGGAATAGTGGTTTAACTACTTTTTTTCTGTTTTGTAAAAATTTAACAAAAACAAATCACAAATAATAATAATTTGTTTTAGACAATATAGAAAATATAACGATGACGTTATTAAATCACTTTTAATATACGCGCCCCCTTGAGTTGCTATTTTATAAATATAATTTTGTTGTTTTCTTTTCGTTATTGTTTTTGTTTAAATTTGTTTACTATTTACAGACGTTTTAAAAATCAGCATCAACAAATCTTGTTAAATTTAACACTGACAGTGGCACTGCTTACCACCTACATTCATTTCCGAATACATATTTAAACAGCTTTAAGATAGACGACGATTGCTTCGAGTGTATATAATATTTGCTACAAAACATTTCCTTTTATGTTCAACAATTATTTCAAAATGTAAAAAATATTATTATTTTTTTTTTTTTTGTAAATTATTGCATAAAAATTATCATTGTCCGAAAAGGATGGGAGTATATTGATTATGTCTTTCCGTTTGTAACATATTGAAATGTTGGACTTATGAATATTATTTAGTTACTTAGTTAGTTAGTTAGTTAGTTAGTTTGTTTGTTTGTTTGTTAGTTAGTTAGTTAGTTAGTTAGTTAGTTAGTTAGTTACTTAGTTTGTTTGTTTGTTTGTTTGTTTGTTAGTTAGTTAGTTAGTAGTTAGTTAGTTAGTTAGTTAGTTAGTTAGTTTAGTTAGTTAGTAGTTAGTTAGTTAGTTAGTTAGTTAGTTAGTTAGTTAGTTAGTTAGTTAGTTAGTTAGTTAGTTAGTTAGTTAGTTAGTAGTTAGTTAGTTAGTTAGTTAGTTAGTAGTTAGTTAGTTAGTAGTTAGTTAGTTAGTTAGTTAGTTAGTTAGTTATGTTAGTTAGTTGTTAGTTAGTCGTAGTTAGTTTAGTAGTTAGTTTAGTTAGTTAGTTAGTTAGTTAGTTAGTTAGTTAGTTAGTTAGTTAGTTAGTTAGTTAGTTAGTTAGTTAGTTAGTTAGTTAGTAGTTAGTTAGTTAGTTAGTTAGTTAGTTAGTTAGTTAGTTAGTTAGTTAGTTAGTTAGTTAGTTAGTTAGTTAGTTAGTTAGTTAGTTAGTTAGTTAGTTAGTTAGTTAGTTAGTTAGTTAGTTAGTTAGTTAGTTAGTTAGTTAGTTAGTTAGTTAGTTAGTTAGTTAGTAGTTAGTTAGTTAGTTAGTTAGTTAGTTAGTTAGTTAGTTAGTTAGTTAGTTAGTTAGTTAGTTAGTTAGTTAGTTAGTTAGTTAGTTAGTTAGTTAGTTAGTTAGTTAGTTAGTTAGTTAGTTAGTTAGTTAGTTAGTTAGTTAGTTAGTTAGTTAGTTAGTTAGTTAGTTAGTTAGTAGTTAGTTAGTTAGTTAGTTAGTTAGTTAGTTAGTTAGTTAGTTAGTTAGTTAGTTAGTTAGTTAGTTAGTTAGTTAGTAGTTAGTTAGTTAGTTAGTTAGTTAGTTAGTTAGTTAGTTAGTTAGTTAGTTAGTTAGTTAGTTAGTTAGTTAGTTAGTTAGTTAGTTAGTTAGTTAGTTAGTTAGTTAGTTAGTTAGTTAGTTAGTTAGTTAGTTAGTTAGTAGTTAGTTAGTTAGTTAGTTAGTTAGTTAGTTAGTTAGTTAGTTAGTTAGTTAGTTAGTTAGTTAGTTAGTTAGTTAGTTAGTTAGTTAGTTAGTTAGTTAGTTAGTTAGTTAGTTAGTAGTTAGTTAGTTAGTTAGTTAGTTAGTTAGTTAGTTAGTTAGTTAGTTAGTTAGTTAGTTAGTAGTTAGTTAGTTAGTTAGTTAGTTAGTTAGTTAGTTAGTTAGTTAGTTAGTTAGTTAGTTAGTTAGTTAGTTAGTTAGTTAGTTAGTTAGTTAGTTAGTTAGTTAGTTAGTTAGTTAGTAGTTAGTTAGTTAGTAGTTAGTTAGTTAGTTAGTTAGTTAGTTAGTTAGTTACTTAGTCTATATTGTTTATATAAATAGATAGCTAATTTTGAAGTCGTCGTATACTTAATATGAATTCTTTATTACATTATCATTGTTTTCAATATAACAAATTTGTCTATATTTAACACCCCATTACCAAACTTCATTCAAATTAGAAATATTTTTTAGATATTTTTTAAATAAATATTTCGTCTTTGTTCTGTGATTCATCAATAATTTGTCTACGATGTAGACACGAAATCACAATCCAAACAATAAATTAAATTAATACTACAACATAAAATGTCATTAACACGTGTTAAAACTATTGTCAAAACCATAATTAAAAAGATAACACAATTTTCTAATTTTTTTTTTTTTTTTCTTTAACAAGAATTGAAATAAAAATATTTGTTTTATTTAGAAAACAACAATGTTTCTTCCTAGTAAAGGATTGACTTTGTAAATAATACAGATTTCTACTTATTAATAATACAAATGTTTACATTAAGGTTATTAAATAATTTGGTTATAATTTTTTTTTAGATTAAATAACAAAAGTCACTGCCGTGTGGTTGCTTTTAGAATAACAGCCAATAATTTGGCTTTTAATTAAATTCCCAAGAATTAGATAGCATGTGAATTCTTTGTTTAAATATATATTTTTTATTAACAAATAAACGCTGTTGCGTTGATAAAGGTAGTAAGTAACATTATTTACATATTTAGAAAATTGTTGTTCCAATACTTATGCCTTTATTTGGACGCGTGAGTAAAGTAAATACATCTATAGTCTAGTCTATAGTCTAGTCTATAGTCTAGTCTATAGTCTAGTCTATAGTCTAGTCTATAGTCTAGTCTATAGTCTAGTCTATAGTCTAGTCTATGGTCTAGTCTATGGTCTAGTCTATAGTCTAGTCTATAGTCTAGTCTATAGTCTAGTCTATAGTCTAGTCTATAGTCTAGTCTATAGTCTAGTCTATAGTCTAGTCTATAGTCTAGTCTATAGTCTAGTCTATAGTCTAGTCTATAGTCTAGTCTATAGTCTAGTCTATAGTCTAGTCTATAGTCTAGTCTATAGTCTAGTCTATAGTCTAGTCTATAGTCTAGTCTATAGTCTAGTCTATAGTCTAGTCTATAGTCTAGTCTAGTCTAGTCTATAGTCTAGTCTATAGTCTAGTCTATAGTCTAGTCTATAGTCTAGTCTATAGTCTAGTCTATAGTCTAGTCTATAGTCTAGTCTATAGTCTAGTCTATAGTCTAGTCTAGTAGTCTAGTCTAGTCTATAGTCTAGTCTATAGTCTAGTCTATAGTCTAGTCTATAGTCTAGTCTATAGTCTAGTCTATAGTCTAGTCTATAGTCTAGTCTATAGTCTAGTCTATAGTCTAGTCTATAGTCTAGTCTATAGTCTAGTCTATAGTCTAGTCTATAGTCTAGTCTATAGTCTAGTCTATAGTCTAGTCTATAGTCTAGTCTATAGTCTAGTCTATAGTCTAGTCTATAGTCTAGTCTATAGTCTAGTCTATAGTCTAGTCTATAGTCTAGTCTATAGTCTAGTCTATAGTCTAGTCTATAGTCTTGTCTATAGTCTAGTCTCTAGTCTAGTCTATAGTCTAGTCTATAGTCTAGTCTATAGTCTAGTCTATAGTCTAGTCTATAGTCTAGTCTATAGTCTAGTCTATAGTCTAGTCTATAGTCTAGTCTATAGTCTAGTCTATAGTCTAGTCTATAGTCTAGTCTATAGTCTAGTCTATAGTCTAGTCTATAGTCTAGTCTATAGTCTAGCCTATAGTCTAGTCTATAGTCTAGCCTATAGTCTAGTCTATAGTCTAGTCTATAGTCTAGTCTATAGTCTAGTCTATAGTCTAGTCTATAGTCTAGTCTATAGTCTAGTCTATAGTCTAGTCTATAGTCTAGTCTATAGTCTAGTCTATAGTCTAGTCTATAGTCTAGTCTATAGTCTAGTCTATAGTCTAGTTTATAGTCTAGTCTATAGTCTAGTTTATAGTCTAGTCTATAGTCTAGTCTGTAGTCTAGTTTATAGTCTAGTCTATAGTCTAGTTTATAGTCTAGTCTATAGTCTAGTCTATAGTCTAGTCTATAGTCTAGTCTAGTCTATAGTCTAGTCTATAGTCTAGTCTATAGTCTAGTCTAGTCTATAGTCTAGTCTAGTCTATAGTCTAGTCTATAGTCTAGTCTATAGTCTATTCTATAGTCTATTCTATAGTCTATTCTATAGTCTAGTCTATAGTCTAGTCTATAGTCTAGTCTATAGTCTATTCTATAGTCTATTCTATAGTCTAGTCTATAGTCTAGTCTATAGTCTAGTCTATAGTCTAGTCTATAGTCTAGTGTATAGTCTAGTCTATAGTCTAGTCTATAGTCTAGTCTATAGTCTAGTCTATAGTCTAGTCTATAGTCTAGTCTATAGTCTAGTCTATAGTCTAGTCTATAGTCTAGTCTATAGTCTAGTCTATAGTCTAGCCTATAGTCTAGTCTATAGTCTAGCCTATAGTCTAGTCTATAGTCTAGTCTATAGTCTAGTCTATAGTCTAGTCTATAGTCTAGTCTATAGTCTAGTCTATAGTCTAGTCTATAGTCTAGTCTATAGTCTAGTCTATAGTCTAGTCTATAGTCTAGTCTATAGTCTAGTCTATAGTCTAGTCTATAGTCTAGTCTATAGTCTAGTCTATAGTCTAGTCTATAGTCTAGTTTATAGTCTAGTCTATAGTCTAGTCTATAGTCTAGTCTATGGTCTAGTCTATAGTCTAGTCTATAGTCTAGTCTATAGTCTAGTCTATAGTCTAGTCTATAGTCTAGTCTATAGTCTAGTCTATAGTCTAGTCTAGTCTATAATCTAGTCTATAGTCAAGTCTATAGTCTAGTCTATAGTTTAGTCTATAGTCTAGTCTATAGTCTAGTCTATAGTCTAGTCTATAGTCTAGTCTATAGTCTAGTCTATAGTTTATTCTATAGTCTAGTCTATAGTCTAGTCTATAGTCTAGTCTATAATTTAGTCTATAGTCTAGTCTATAGTCTAGTCTATAGTCTAGTATATAGTCTAGTCTATAGTCAAGTATATAGTCTAGTCTATAGTCTAGTCTATAGTCTTGTCTATAGTGTAGTCTATAGTCTAGTCTATTGTCTACTCTATAGTTTAGTCTATAGTCTACTCTATAGTTTAGTCTAGAGTCTAATCTATAGTTTAGTCTATAGTCTAGTCTATAGTCTAGTCTATAGTCTAGTCTATAGTCTAGTCAATAGTCTAGTCTATAGTCTAATCCATAGTCTAGTCTATAGTTTAGTATGTAGTCTAGTATATAGTCTAGTATGTGGTATATTCTATAGTTTAGCGTATAGTCTGGTCTATATTCTAGTCCATAAGCTAGTTTATAGTTAAGTTTATATATAGTCTAATCTATAGTCTAGTATACGGTTATTTACTGCATACCATGATGAAAACTGGGAATTCAATTTAAAACCCGGGATTTTTGGGGGACATGAGTCAAAATGTTTCTGGCAACACTGGTCAACAAGTTGCTCTTTAACTACTGCAATCACAAAAAATACTTGGCGCAACTTAAAAACAGTTGGTAACGCAATCGGTTTGTGTCTAGGCTTAATAATATGACAATTGTATATTTTACCTCTAGATGTCACTTTCTGCTATTGGGAAGTGTTTGGTAAATTCTAATAAGCAATAAAATGACAATCAAAACAAAAACACAAAACAATAAAACAACAACAAAACAGTCCGTCAGCCACTGTGATGAAATGTCAAAATATAATCAAAATAAAAATAAAATAAACCTGCTGCTGTTTAAATTCGTATCATATTTTTGCTTAAAGATAATACAATAAAGAAAAAAGAAAATTTGTTGTTAAATAGTTTTATTTATAACATTTAAAGATCATAAATTTTGTGCTAAAAGTAATGAAATATAGCCGTGGCTAAGAAGAAGCAGCAGACAGCCGTTTAATGTTTCTGGTGGCCAGGTTAAGCGTAAATGAATCGGGACACGGAGTTTATAGAAAACGCGGAATAATAACTATTTAAAGTGCGAAGAAAATTTCCGTAACGGGGTTTTCTTTTTTACATGTTTAGAATATAAATAGCTGTTTGCTAAAGTGTTTGTAGTGTATAAAAAGCAAAACAACAAAAAAGAGTTCCTCAATTTGGATTGAGGTAGCTTTAATCAGTTGCAGAATATTAACAAAAATATTATTTTTTACAATGGCCAATGAGGAGCAGGAGTGGCGTCAGTCATTATTACAATGTTTGAGGGAACGTAATCGTAGAGAAGTGATGCCCTTTAAAGAAATCATACAGCAGAGTAAGTTTGTCACTACCCTTTACCTTTAAGTTTTTGTTGTTGTTGTTGTGGCTAGAATCTTGGCACACAGATGTTGCTTTATTTTAATGACTTAGTTGTTGGAGTAGTTTGTGAAATTTGAACGAAAAGAATTGTGTGCGGTGGGGGTCAAGGTCGTTTGTTTTTATTGTGTGTATTTTTATTTATGTTTGTTATTGTTTTTGTTTAGTTGTAGTTTTTTGTGTTTATTTAATTTATTATAATTATTTTCTTTGAGATTTTAAAGATTTTAATTTCATTTGTTTTTTATTGCAGACAACCGCTTGATGGACAATGTGGCTCAATTAAAATCAGACAATTTAAAACTTTCGGTGGAAAATGAACAATTACGCACCGCCATCTCAACAGGTGGCGGCATGGGTGGTAAAGATAGTACTGGCGCCCAATTGGCTATTGCTGCCCTGGAAAAGAAACTCTTGGCCCAACAGGAAGAGCTCACAGAGTTGCATAAACGCAAAGGAGAAAATTCTCAATTAATTGTAGATCTTAATATAAAAATGGAAAAACAACAACAAATTATAGCAGAAAAAGAACATAGGTAGCTATTAATTATTTATTTGTTTTGATTTAAGGTGAATGACCTTGTTTTTATCATATTTTAAAAACAAGTTCGGATATAATGAATTGAATTTTAATGATTATTTAATTTTTGATTTATTTTAGTCTTGCTGACCAACAAACTGCCAATAATTCCTTAAAAGCTGAAGTTCAAATGCTTAAAACAAGTTTAGAAGAATTGAAAAATCTCAATACAACATTAAGAGATGAATATACTGCACTGCAGTTGGCATTTAGTGCACTCGAAGATAAATTAAGGGGGGTACAGGTGAGTAGAGTAGAGTTTATGAATAATTATTTAAGTTATTTATAAATATTGTAGTAAAAATAGGACATTCGATAAATCTAATAAAGGAAGCAATACTATGCAATAATTATGCGAATTTTTAACATATACTAATATCGTTTTCAAACACTTTTTCTAATTTTTAAATATTTCCTTTAGATTTCCTATAAAATTTTTGTCAAAAAGTTTTTAAAATTTTTCATTCATTTTCTTAAAATAAACGTCAGTTGGCAAAATAAAATAATTTAGTAAATAAAAGTTTTTTCCAATACAAATTTAAAATTTCCCGTATATAAATTACATTTGCAAAATTTTTATATAAAAAAGATTGAGCAGTTAAGTAAGTTAATACCGAAATTAATTAAAAACAGAATTGCAGAATAGAAAAGTAAATATCTTTAAGCAAATGCCGCCCTTAAGAAAATATTAAGAAACTTTCCAATATTTTTGTCTGGATTAATAGGGAGTAATGTTAAAGTAACCTAAGGTATACTCTTGTTAATTAATTAACTGGGAAAATTTAATAGATTAATTATAACATACGAATGCTGACTATTTAATAGACTTAAAAATTGTAGAAAAATTAAATAGTATTTTATTATAATATTTAATGACTTCACTGATCGCCAATAATGTATTCTGAGCTTGTTTATAGATTTAAACATTATTACAAAGTCTCGAAATTCCTTCCATATGTGTCGGGGAAGTAGAATTATGGATGTAAGAAATCTCCTGTCCCCAATTGACAATTTTCACATCTTTAACGAGATGCCTTATAAAACGTTGATTTCCACGATGAGCCTTTCTTCAATGAACTGTAATAGGTTGCTAGAGATCTTTTCATAAGTACAAATCGATCGATTACAACAGCTTGAGAATAACTTTCATTGTTCATCGATTTCTTTATCTACTTTTATTGTATAATTTTGTTTGTATCTCCTCATATTACCGACAAGACTAGAGCACGACATACATTTAGCTTCGAAGTATTTTCCAAGTGCTTTATTATACTGAGATTCTACGAATTGAAACAGTTTCTTGGATTCTTTTTTCGGCTTTCTTTTTCTTATAAACTTGGGTGTTGACTGTTTCCATTAGAAATGTCATTAAGAGGCAATATGTCTTCATCCTTCCATTCATCCAAATCGATAATATCCTTGTAATATTTCTTCCTCATCAACAGGTCGTTACGACTACCAGTGCGCTTTAGTCATTGGTGTAATTGCCTTAGGCTCTTTTCCTGAACAACGTTCGAAAGACCCTTACTCTTAAGTATTGATCGAATTGACGGAATCACCCATCATCTTATTCCTGAGAAAAACGTTACCATCAGTACTATTTGGAGAAATGGGTAAAGTGGGTGTCACTGAGTTGATAATTCTTGTTCGTTGTTCTTTCTTCATCCTCACATTCAGCCAAATCGATAATATCCTTGTAATAATTTTTCCTCATCATCAGGTCATCAGAACTACCAGTGCGCCTTAAGCTCTTTTCCTGTACAACGTTACGTTTTTCCAAAGTGTACAACATTACAGGGGAATATATTCTATACTATAGAATCTATAGTCTATAACTCTCATTTTCATGAAAATGGATGCCCCCTAAATTAAAGTTGCTGATGTTCCCAGCGAAAATGGAAATTTAGTCCATTCGAAGATACCGTATCTCAAATTCAATATTTAGATATAAATGATAAAAATGTCCTTTTTTAAGTTTTTTATTTTTTTTCATATTTCTTCCGAAGGAAAGATATGAAATTTTGGTATCATAAGGAATGTTCTTGAGAGACGCATACAATTGTCTTACAGAAAGGAAAAGGCAAAACCATAGATAGTTAGTAGAAGAGTGGCCTCCGGTAGGTTAGTGGTTAGTGTTCTAGTCTGGTAGACCGGAGGTGGTGGGTTCGATTCCCACCTGAGGCACTGGTTAAGGAGCGCACAACAGGCCCGATAGCGGCCTAGGTGTATTTCTTCGGACTTGATGTATATACATCCTCCTTTCAAACTAACTAACTAACTAACTAACTAACTAACTAACTAACTAACTAACTAACTAACTAACTAACTAACTAACTAACTAACTAACTAACCTAACTAACTAACTAACTAACTAACTAACTAACTAACTAACTAACTAACTAACTAATAACTAACTAACTAACTAACTAACTAACTAACTAACTAACTAACTAACTAACTAACTAACTAACTAACTAACTAACTTAACTAACTAACTAACTAACTAAACTAACTACTAACTAACTAACTAACTAACTAACTAACTTAACTAACTAACTAACTAACTAACTAACTAACTAACTAACTAACTAACTAACTACTACTAACTAACTACTAACTACCGACTCTACTAACTAACTAACTAACTAACTAACTACTAACTAACTACCTAACTAACTAGCACTAACTAACTACTAACTAACTAACTAACTAACTAAACTACTAACGAACTAAACTACTAACTCTAACATAACTACTAACTAACTAACTAACTAACTAACTAACTAACGAACTACTAAACGAACTACTAACTACTAACTAACTAACTACTAACTAACTAACTACTAACTACTAACTAACTATACTACTAACAACTAACTAACTAACTACTACTAACTAACTAACTAACTAACTAACTAACTACTAACTAACTAACTAACTAACTAACTACTAACTAACTAACTAACTAACTAACTAACTAACTACTACTAACTAACTAACTAACTAACTAACTAACTAACTAACTAACTAACTAACTAACTAACTAACTAACTAACTAGTAGAAGAGTACAAAAGAGAAAAGTGTGGAGGTGAGGTGTATTAAATGAAATATTAAATATATGTATATGTTGTGACTTTCATTACTACATCTAGAGCATTAATTCCCTCCAATTGAACGTTTGATATATCAGAAAAAATGTCTCCCTTTATGTTTTTTTGCACAGAAAATGTGTTTTAGCTTCTTCTTCATCCCACAGAAAACCCATGAGCATCTCTTGGGTCTACTAGATAGAATTGGTACTTTGCGTGGCCATCGGTCATATTAAAAAAAGTTTTTTTGTCGCCGATAAGGAACACTACTGAACTGGTCGGTTCTGTTGGTATTTCTTAATGTCTCGTGAAGGGGCCCTTAGTAGCTCCACATAGTTTGGGTCTTTCAAATACATAGTTAGAAAATCTTCTATATTCTCTCTCAAGTTCATAGACTAATATATTATAGCATAGATCTGATATGTCATCATCATCATCATTATTAAAAAATTATATTCTGATAAAGACTAATAAATAACAAAAAACTCGTCACACACTTTACAGTAGTGAGTATGGTAATTTACTTCTACTTTATGCATATTTGTTTTATTTTTTACAATTTTACGATATTTTTATGATTCGACATATTTATTTATAAATGCTGAATAGCTATGGCGATAAAGTTTAATAACTATTAAAACAATAATAAATATTCTTCTCCAAAAATACCTGCATACTTATCAATTATCATTTGCTGCAAATGGCAATCATATACAAAATTTATGATTTCAATATATGAATGAATACTACGATGTTTCCAATTATGGGTGTCTTATCAATAAAATAGAAAACACAAAAACAACACAGTGATGATGATTTAATGAACTTACGCGCCCTCCACTTGAAATAATAAACAGTTTGTAAATATGTAAATTATACGAGCAGCAATCATATTGAAATTATCAATTTGTTTTTACTTAAACATCTAGAGAGAACTGCTTAACAATTTTATTGTAGTCTACATAGTACATATGACTATAGCAAACTACTGTTGCTACTGTATTTCTTATCAATTTATAGAATATTTCTAAATATAGTTAGAAATTTTTATTTTTATAAAATATATTTTCTTTTTGTGTTGCTTCTATACAATTAAATTGTTTCTATTTCAATATACACAACATCATTATTAAATACTAATAGCTTCGTCATCAAACTCAATACTCGCCTAGTCAATATATATTCAATTTATTGTTTATTTATTTATTTTATTAATTAAATGTTGCGTACTGCCGTTTTTGTTTAATGTGCAAATAGTTTCCATTTAAGAATTTTGTAAAAATTTTTATTTTCTCAAATTTTTATTTATTAACACATAGTTGTATTTGAAAAAAAAAAAAAAATCAACAAAAAGTAATGTTGAAATTTAAGAACTATAATTATTTTTGGCTTTTACCCAATAAACTTAAGTCTGACGGGGGCTAAAGATAAGTAAATTAAAGTGTATGTATGCTAACATGTAGTCAATCATAAATAGCAATTAAAATTTTGGTGCGTTCAGAGCGACCAGATGTTTTGAATATAAACATTTTAATGTTTTCGATAAACATGATTTTTTTTTTTTTTTTTTTTGAAATTATTCGTCCAATAATTTGTTGGCTTTATAATAAAATTTTAGCAGCACACAGTGGGACACAATAGAATTTTTTTAGAAATAAATATGGGATTAATAAAAGGCTGGTCGGATGGGGAAACAAATTATCATGGAAGCAGCGAAGGAGATTTCGAGTTTAAGTTATGACTAGACTATAGACTAGACTATAGACTAGACTATAGACTAGACTATAGACTAGACTATAGACTAGACTATAGACTAGACTATAGACTAGACTATAGACTAGACTATAGACTAGACTATAGACTAGACTATAGACTAGACTATAGACTAGACTATAGACTAGACTATAGACTAGACTATAGACTAGACTATAGACTAGACTATAGACTAGACTATAGACTAGACTATAGACTAGACTATAGACTAGACTATAGACTAGACTATAGACTAGACTATAGACTAGACTATAGACTAGACTATAGACTAGACTATAGACTAGACTATAGACTAGACTATAGACTAGACTATAGACTAGACTATAGACTAGACTATAGACTAGACTATAGACTAGACTATAGACTAGACTATAGACTAGACTATAGACTAGACTAGAGACTAGACTATAGACTAGACTATAGACTAGACTATAGACTAGACTATAGACTAGACTATAGACTAGACTATAGACTAGACTATAGACTAGACTATAGACTAGACTATAGACTAGACTAAGACTAGACTATAGACTAGACTATAGACTAGACTATAGACTAGACTATAGACTAGACTATAGACTAGACTATAGACCTAGACTATAGACTAGACTATAGACTAGACTATAGACTAGACTATAGACTAGACTATAGACTAGACTATAGACTAGACTATAGACTAGACTATAGACTAGACTATAGACTAGACTATAGACTAGACTATAGACTAGACTATAGACTATACTATAGACTATACTATACTATAGACTATATTATAGACTATTCTATAGACTATACTATAGACTATATTATAGACTATTCTATAGACTATTCTATAGACTATACTATAGACTATATTATAGACTATACTATAGACTAGACTATAGACTAGATTGTAGGCTAGATTATAGACTAGACTGTAGACTAGACTATAGACTAGACTATAGACTGGACTATAGATTAGACTACAGACTTGACTATAGAATAGATTATAGGCTAGTCTACAGTATAGTCTATTGTAAACAACGTTTTTCTTTCAAAAAGATTACGTATATCTAAGAAAATAATTCCCCGAAAAATCATTAAAAACAAAATTTGGTTTTTATGGCCACCTATTTTTGTACATGATTTTTAATCACTGTCCCTGACCAAATATATCCAATTAAAAAATTTAATTTAATTTAGACTATAGACTAGACTATAGACTAGACTATAGACTAGACTATAGACTAGACTATAGACTAGACTATAGACTAGACTATAGACTAGACTATAGACTAGACTATAGACTAGACTATAGACTAGACTATAGACTAGACTATAGACTAGACTATAGACTAGACTATAGACTAGACTATAGACTAGACTATAGACTAGACTATAGACTAGACTATAGACTAGACTATAGACTAGACTATAGACTAGACTATAGACTAGACTATAGACTAGACTATAGACTAGACTATAGACTAGACTATAGACTAGACTATAGACTAGACTATAGACTAGACTATAGACTAGACTATAGACTAGACTATAGACTAGACTATAGACTAGACTATAGACTAGACTATAGACTAGACTATAGACTAGACTATAGACTAGACTATAGACTAGACTATAGACTAGACTATAGACTAGACTATAGACTAGACTATAGACTAGACTATAGACTAGACTATAGACTATAGACTAGACTATAGACTAGACTATAGACTATACTATAGACTATACTATAGACTATACTATAGACTATATTATAGACTATTCTATAGACTATACTATAGACTATATTATAGACTATTCTATAGACTATTCTATAGACTATACTATAGACTATATTATAGACTATACTATAGACTAGACTATAGACTAGATTGTAGGCTAGATTATAGACTAGACTGTAGACTAGACTATAGACTAGACTATAGACTGGACTATAGATTAGACTACAGACTTGACTATAGAATAGATTATAGGCTAGTCTACAGTATAGTCTATTGTAAACAACGTTTTTCTTTCAAAAAGATTACGTATATCTAAGAAAATAATTCCCCGAAAAATCATTAAAAACAAAATTTGGTTTTTATGGCCACCTATTTTTGTACATGATTTTTAATCACTGTCCCTGACCAAATATATCCAATTAAAAAATTTACAAGATCACAATTATTATAAATTGTTATTATGGATTTTCTGTACATATGTTTAATTAAGATAGTACATATTTTTAAGACATACATACATAAAAAAAAATGTTTTTAAATTTTACACATTGGGATAAATAATCTCATAAATATCGCTCATTTACGAAAAGGCTGTCATAATCCAAATTTCGAGTTTTTTTTAACAAGTTACTAGAAAATATGTGTCATTTTAATTAATTATAGTTATATTTTCAAAAATGTCTAATATTTTCGGAGTGCTAGTGATTTTTTCGTAAATTTTATAAGTAAAATTTTAGTTTAAGTTCAGATGAGAAATATATTAATACATACTTTTTGAAATCCGGCCATCGGTTTGATAGTATAATATTATAATACATTTAATGATGTTTTACTCAAAACAAAATCATTTCGTTTTTGCCGGTTTTGCAATAAATAAGTGACGTGTACATGCGTATGATTTATTTTTTATTTATGTCAAATTGTTTAATTGCTCTTAATTATTGTTTAGAGAAAAAAATATGACCCTCAAATTTAATAATATTGTTTTATTTAGAGACATTTTTATACCCACTAAGATGGGGGTATTTTGAATTTTTCATTCCGTTTGTAACATAGCATAAAACAGTCTAAAACTAATAATTAATTAATTCAAGTGGCGAGGAGTGTATGTACATATACATATGTTTCGGGTATATAAGATGTGACATATTCGAATAATACGTAAGAGTGTATTTATACCCTACACCACTTTAGTGGGGAGGGTATATTAGATTTGTGCTGATATTTGTAACATACAAAAATATTCGTCCTAGAAAAGTATATCAATCGGCTTAGAATCGTTTTCTTAGTCGATTAAGCTATGTCCGTCCGTCCGTCCGTCTGGCTGGCTGTCCATGTAAACCTTGTGCGCAAGGTACAGGTCGCAATTTTCAAGATAATTGGAAGAAATTTGGCATGCACGTTTTATTTGACCCAAGGACGAAGCCTATTGAAAATGGTTAAAATTGTTCCATTATTTCACCTAGCCCCCATAGAACAGAACCCCCCGAAAAGGGCTTCTGAGCTCATAATTATGTTAAATATACAGATATATCGATAAAATACGGCACAACTAAGTTTTATAGAAGTCTTCATGACCCTGCCAAATTTCATAAAGATCGGGCCACATTTGACCCTAGCTCCCATACAAAGTCCCCTTCAGAAAATTACTTGAATGTCCCAAATTAACTTATAAACACAAATATCACGATGAAATTCAGCACAATAAAATATTATGTAAATATAAATATATTTACAAAATTTTATCGGGCTTGGTCCATATTTGCCCCTAGCCCTCATATAAAGCCTCTTTCAGAAAATTAGTTTTTCATCCATAAATTGCTTAAATGTATCGGAACAAGGGAGTATTGAAGATAAATGCTTTATTATGAAAAATAAATCACATTTAATATTCATAACTGGTGTAGGATATCATATGGTCGGCCACGCCCGACTATACTTTCTTACTTGTTTTTTTTTTTGTTTTGTATTGTTTTAATTGGGACTTTAAGTTTGTAGCTACTTTGTTTGCATTTTAAAATCTATAAGAATTTAAATTATTTTTAAATAAATATTTTTAATTTGTTTGACAATTATTTGAGATTTTTTTGGGGTAATTTGTTAATTATTTAATTTCTTATTCTCAAGTGGGTGTATTTTATTATTTTTATAATGCAGCTATTACTATATTATATTTATTATTGGTTTAAATTGTGTTAATTCAGGGATGGTGATATAAAATGATTTATAGTAATTGTTCATTACTCTAAACAATGCATATTGTTAAAATACTCTTTTTTATATTTTCGAAAGAATGGAAGAAGGATCTTAGTACTTCTAAGATCAAACATTTTTTAATGAATTTTTCTAGCCTTTTTTCCACAGTGACATGATGCCAAATTAGTCCAATAATATGAAGGCATTCCGTACTGTTTTAAGAAAGGTAAACCCCCTTATTGTAGACACTCCTTAATACATAAAAATTTCTGGGTTTGTCGAGTCTGATGTTACAAAAGATTTGCTACTTTTACCACAACTGCAAATGTCATACCAAAAATATCATCGGAATTTTTGTTTGTTTTAGTACGGTATTATTCATGGACATTATCTTGTTCATCAGTCACTTAAAAATCTTTACATGGAAGTTGTGGAAAAGTTGTTCGACTTCTGTAAGACCTTTCTTCTTCCCTATAAAGGGTTTCTTGCAATGCTCTTCCTTATACTTACAGTTTAATGACTTTTAAAAAAGTTTGACGGTAACCTTTAGATCTTTTCGGAGTCCATTTTGTCCCAGTTGTATATTAATGATTTAGAAAACTTATGTCAGATATTAACATACGTTTTAAAAAAAATATATATATATTTTGTTGGACCAATAATAAGTTTTGACTAGAAAAGTTTTTTCTGACACAGTCCCTAATACTGATAAAAAAGTTTACTTATCTTCATCACCAATTTTTACATTCGTCTTGTAATATTTTCTTTTCCAATTTTCCAGCTCTGTAATTGGTTTTCCATCGCCTTTTTAATTTAAATATATTTTCAATCATATTTCAGCAATTTCACTTCCACTCTAGACCATTAAGCGATTTTGTTTTTAAAGAAATGACAAATATCGTATGGAAAGCTAAAATAAAATATCCGCCAAAAATTTCATTATATTCGCACACAATTTCTTCCACAAAAAGCACGTCCCCGCATTCAAATAAATGATGCAACAAACCAAAAATGAAAATGAAATTAATTTTCAATTCAAAATTGCCCTCAATCAAAACCACACGTTAATTGTTAAAAAAATAATTTTCGTTCTATAAACAAAATTTTAGAAAAATAATTTTTATATGTATACAAAAATAAAAAGACGTTTTTCTTGTGTTTCAACTCAACAGGACGAAAATCGTTGTCTATTGGAACGTTTGATGCGTTACAAATCGAAGGATGCCGATAAATTGAATGAGGAAAACGAAAGCTTTTTAAGGTGAGTTAAATCGTTATATTTCTTTGTATGTATGTATGTCTGTATCTGTGTGTCTTTGTGTTTTAATTGTCTTTATTAAGTGTGTGTGTTTTTAATTAATTTTTGGAATTTTTTAAAGATATTTTTATTTAGTTTTTGCTTAATTTGCTTTTTATTTTTTGGTTAATTGGTTTTTAATGATTTGTTGTAATTTGATTTAATTTTCCCTTTTCCTTTTTTTTCATTTTTAATTTTCATCCATTTAGTATTTTAATTATAAATTTATTTAGATTTTTAATTTTTGTAGTATTTTGTTGGGCGTCGTTAATTGGTTTTATTTTGCATGTAATTAGTTCTTTTTGGTTTCAAAATTACACTTTTACTGGACTTGACCCGGAAGTATTTAAAGACTTTTATATTTTTTTAAACAAAATTGACATATAGCAATTCTGCGGCAATAAAGAAAAACAACTTCTCATTATTGTGTCAATTCTTTTAAGAAATCGGTTCAGAATTTTATAAAATACTTACATTTTTATACCCACCATCAAAAAAGATGGGGGTATATTGATTTTGTCATTCCGTTTGTAACACATCCAAATATTGGTCATAGACCCACAAAAGAATATATATTCTGGGTCCTCATTAAATTCTAAAACGATCTAGCCATGTCTGTCTGTCCGTCTGTCCGTCCGTCTGTCTGTCTGTTGAAAGCACGATAGAGTCCGAATGGAAATAGCTAGAGGGTTAAAATTTCACATAAATATTTCTTATAGGTAAGGTTTGTTTGGTATTGAAAATGGGCAATATCGGTCTACATTTTCGGGTAGCCCCCATACATAAGTAAGTTTCCTGTGATCCAAAATCACTATGCAAAATTTTATGAGGATCGGTCCATAACTGACCCTACCCCCCCTATAAGGTCCCCTTCAGAAAATGACTTTAACGCTCATTACTGGCTTAAAAATACTAGTATATAGATAAAATTCGACATAAGTAAGTTTCATACGAGTCCCCTTCAGAAAATGTCTGCAACGCTCATTAATGGCTTAAAAATACGAGTGTAGCGATGAAATTCGACACAAATAAATTTAATAAGAACCAAATTCTGTCTACCAAATTTTATGAGGATCGACCCATAATTGACCCTACCCCTACATACAATGCCCAGTAAGCATGAAAATAATAGTCCTTATTCAATATCTATCAAGGCCCAAGAGAGTCCAGGTCCTTTGAAAGACAGTTCCAGATCACTTCCTTTATTTTGCAAGTTTCTGTCGTTCACTTGTCGGGTTGATCGTGTTCGATATCTCGATCAAGGGGATATAACAAAACACTTTCGTCTAAGGAAAAGGCACATGTTTAGTTCGGGATGTCCCATAAGCAATCCTTAATTATTTGTAGTATTGTAACCAATGTTTTTGCTTGGTAATTAATCAGCATTTGAATATAACTATTAAAGATCTCTATTGAGAACTATGAGCAAGTGGAGAAATAATTCGACGAGATAAATTCGATTCGATTTCGGATTGTTATAAGGATAAAGTTAGAACTTTAACTCCGTCGGAGTATGCTTTGTTTACTGTAAACAAAGTAGAACTACATATAGCAGTAGTTCCATTCTTGCTTGTCTTTACATTTGAGATTTCCTGAAAGTTTTTTGGAAAAATAAAAATCGACCCCAGTCGTGTGTGTGTGAGATTATATCGAGACTACTTTATGATTTTTTGAACTGTTTGTGGCTCTTCTCCTGTAAAAGGTTGCATTGCGACCGCAGGCGTGTGTGTGTAAGGTTATATCGAGACTACTGTATGGTTTCTTGATCGTTTGTTGCAAAACATAAATCGATCGCAATATGATCTGTTTATGGAAAATTTTGGCTCTTCGCCGGTAGAAGGTTGCATTGACTTAAGAACTAAGAACTTTAAAAGCTTCGTACATTTGGCATTGGGTTTTGAAACAAATGCAACGTTACATAGAGCTACCCCATTTCAAATCATAAATTTGTATGCTTCTTTGCTACGCCCCTGTCAAGTTATAACACGATTGGACCAGCCATTTAGCTGCAAGCTAACCGCGAATGCGAAATTCCTAGTTTTTCGGTCAATTTTTGTGTTTGAGTCTTCGAAAAATTTATAACGAATGTCGAAGTGCTTTACGTGAACACCTGCCTGAGGGCCTTATTTCACGGTGGTCATTTTCAACCACTCAGTTCGCTAAAAAGTATCGACTCACCACCGCCCATTGTGCTTCTTACACGCCGGTGGCAATTTACGTGTATTGATGTCCGGTCCAGTATTTATGCACTTTGCTCAAGTACTCGAGCTATCTAATCTCTTTCCATAGTAGAACCATTGGGGAATAACAGGTATCATGAGACAAGCTCAATCTAACCCCGACAAAGGAAAAGGCAATTACTGGTTAGAATCGATAGAATTGGCGGACCCAACATCAGGTGAAAACACCCTATTGATGCTATGAGAATGCCATTGTCCCCACAAACATTCTCATCATCTAAAGACTCACCCCAATTTGTAACGTTACATAGCGCCGCCCCATTTTCAAAATATGAACTCTAACGCTTTTTTACTACGTCCATGTCAAATTATAACACGATCGGACCAACCGTTTAGCTGCAAGCTAACTGCAAATGCGAAATTCCCAGTATTTGGTCCAATTTATGTGATCGAGTCATGGAATAATTCACTCCTGTCTCAGTGTTTCATATATCAACTATATTGTGTTCCTTTAAGCAACCGATTTATAATTCATTTAAATTAACAATAATTTCCATAACATATGCATTGTCAGATCATTATCAGCCTGCTACGTGGATAACAACAGATCAGATCCTGTCATCATGATCTTATAGACTAGTTAGTTCACAAATTAGTCAATAGACTATATACCAGTCTGTGGACTAAACATTTCGCAAACAAATTTGTTTGTGAATTTGAAAGTATTTTCAATATACAGTTAATCTCAAAAATAAGTATACAGAAATACTGACAATTGGTTTTATTTAAAAAAGGATATTATTTTTTCAAAAATCAAAAAAGTAACATATTTATTTATTAAAAACATTCATTATTCACTACTTTTTTCCGGGTTATTTTGGTTACTTGAGTTCTAATTTAAGGTGTAGTTAAATAGGTACAAAATTTACATCACAAAAAAGTAAGTATACAGATAATTTCAATATGTATTTGGCTTAATGATATTAACAAAATTCATGACAATTTTACCTGTTTGAATGTAATTATTTTATAATAAAATATTCTGTACACTATAACATGGAAAAGATTCACTTTTTGTTCCGAAAAATTGAAATTTTCGGTAATTGATCTGAATATTATTTATAGGAGCATTTTTGCCTATTTAAGAACATTAAACCCCCGGAGTTTTGGATCGGGTATTCAATAATATCCCTCGTTTGTTCATTATGATGCATTGGAAGACGATATTTTAACTTTTAAATAAATTGTTTCTTTACAATAATTACAATCCATTGCGGAACATTGCCGTTTTTAACATAGTATAGCGTTCATATTCGATATTTAACGGCGATTTCCTAAAATTTATATCTTAAAATGCGATATTAATAATACTTGCACTAGTATCCATTAATTAAAACAAGTTTTTTGGTTCCAATCATCCATTACACACTCCTAAATACTACCAATAATCGTCAAATGGTGACCATGGTAATGGTAACTTACACTACATATCGGTTCTGAAATTGATTATTGTCCAAAATAGTAAGATTTTTATATTAAATCAGGCTCAATTGGTGGTATGAATACGAATTGAACAATTTTGAACACGGATACATCTTAATTTGTTGCTAGAACAAATAAAATGTCCGATCCATAAAACATGCTTATTGTATCGAGTATATCAAGATATGATTGGTAGCATTATTGTATGCTTTGGAAATCGGAGTATTTGGAAAACCTGTTTAAATTAAGGAAACTATATAGAATTATCCAAATTTTAAAGTTTATGTTGTAAGTCTTAAGAAATCGGAGTTAAATTTCGGGTTTTTAAGAACGTACTGTGTTCAAAATGGCCAAATCCATGCATATAACATTAATTTCGAAATAACAACTCTTTTCAAAAGTTAAAAATTCTATTTCCAATGCATCATTTGGAGTGTTCAATGACCACCAGATCCACAATCCGGGGTCTAAAGTGGAAAAAAATCGTAGAAATGAGAAAACTAATTAATTCCGGAGCCAATCGGCCCAAATTTCAAGATTTCGGAACTAAAAGTAGATTTTTTCCAAGTTATTGTGTAAAAAATATTTTATTAAAAAGTAATTATATTAATACAAGTAAAATTTTCATAAATTTTGTTAATATCATTAAACCAAATATATACTGAAATGATCTGTACACAGAAAAAAATAATTCATATTTGGAATGAATTTTGAAATAAATTGAATGAATCGAACATGACTTTTTTTTCCCAAACCATTTTCATTCAGAATATTAAAAGTTCATAAAATGTATGAATATGTACATGAAAGATTTTTTTGTTTTTTTGTTCATTTTCTTTGATTTTCATCAAAAATGCAATAAATAAATAACCGTTACCTAATAATATCTTCCATTTTTTAGAAAATAATCACATATTAGCTTATTTTTATAATAAATAAATAAAAATGCTGGAAAACAAAATATGAAATAAAAAAACCAGCATATAGCTAAACATCCATTCTTCAGAAAATGCTGCATGTTACGCGCATATTTCATTGTTTTCAATCTAAAAATCATAAAGAAATAAAAAATTTTCTAAAGAAAATTTCAAACATTTTTTAACAAACAGAAAAATATAAAGAAAATTTTTAATATTTTAAGTCAAGGCTTCTAGATTATGTTTAAAAATATAAAAATGAAAAAATTCATACAATTTAGGAACTTATTCTTAAATATTATTAACTTTAGTCAATGAAAGCAGTTCATAATATTTATGCTGAAACTTTTTTCTGTGTATACTTACTTTTGTGACGTAAATTTTGCACCTTTTTAACTTTAGCTTAAATGAGAACTCAAAGAACCAAAATATGAAGAAAAAAAGTAGTAAATAATAATTATCATAATTGTTTTTAATAAATAAATGTGTTACTTTCTTGTTTTTTGAAAAAATAATATGTTTTTTTAAATAAAACCAATCGTCAGTATTTCTGTATACTTATTTTTGTGATTAACTGTAGATTTAAAAAACAGGTTTTTTAAGATGGAAAAGAGTTGTTAAACAAGTATGAAGAGTTTGTTAAACAAATATGAAGTTCTTTTAACATGTAGCTCCCAATAATAATACTTCTTCGCAAAATTTTTCAAGGGTAAGAATATTTTTAAAATCTAAATTTCACCATAAAACTCTTCACCGTCAGATGAAATAGAAAATTATCTTAATCACATTTCATATCAACAGATAACATTTTTTGCAAATACTAAAAGCATGCAAAGTTCATTGTGTATATAACTATTTCACCTGAGTTTTTTTTTTTTTTTGGACTGTAAATAGCTTATCGAAAAACTAATTACACATTCAAATTTTTAAACCCACATTTTCATATTTCAAAAGTCATTCATGCATATATACTGCAAACCAAAAATAAACTCAATATCATTCATTTGTTTTCTAAACAAAAAACATACAACAAAATTGAAATAAAAAAAAAGTTATCAACGCTTAATTGAAAAAAAGAAACGTTTTTTTAAAGTTCTATTACTCGACAAGGAAACAAACAAAAAACCAACACTATTTTTCTTTCTTCTTTTTTTTCTCCTTTTTTATTTTTATTTTTTTAAATATAATTGTGTGTCTATAAATGTTGACGAATATTGAATATTGTTGTAATTATACTTAAAAAAAAAACCAAATACAAACAAAAACAAACTGACCCTCCCTGATTATTAAAAATCAAACAAAATATATATATCAATATACTGCCCCTCCACAAAAATACACTCTACAAAAACTCAAACAAAAAACATGCCAACTGTTTACAAAATCTAGAAAAAGACTGCCGTCAATTTTCAGAAAACGTTCGGATAAATTAAAACGAGATCTGGAAGACGCTGTCCGTGAACCGAATTCACCCTTTACACATCATCATCGCAACTCCTCGAGTCCCTCGTTTCAAGGTGCGGGTGGTGGTGATCCGTACGACGACGACGATCGTGATACTAGTAGTGGTGATCATTGTGTAGAAGCCGGCAGTGATGCTGATATGTATGGCACACATAATGATCAGTATGGGGGTGTGAGTGGTGGTAATATTGGCGGTTATGGTTATTACAAAAGTGCCTGTCCCACTAACATCTATATGAAATTTGAAGCCCATGAAACAGAATCACATGCGGTACGTTGGAGTCCTATAGAACGTGTCATAGCAACGGGTGGTGCAGATCGCAAAGTTAAGTTGTGGGATGTGGGGAAGGGTAAGTTGAAAGTGTTTTTTTTTATATCGGCTTTGAAGTGATTTATTATATATTTTATTTCTTTTTATAGGTTCTTCTGAACCTCGTGCCGTTTTGGGCGGCAGTAGTGCTGGTATAAATTCCGTTGATTTTGATTCCACTGGTACCTATATAATAGGCACCTCTAATGATTATGGCGCTCGTATTTGGACTACAGGAGATAATAGATTAAGGGTAAGTTCTAGTGAAAGTAAGAATGAAAAAAATTAATGAAAATTGAATAATGTAAAGTTTAGTTGTATAATGAAGCGGGTTTCTTTTTAAATAACTGCAAAGTTTAGGCTTGATAAGGTCCGAATATATTTGTAAATATTGATTTTTAGAAATGGATTTTATTTTTCTTAAAAATAATTATTTGAAATTGAGTTGAAAAGGGTTTGAAAATTGTTTTGGAATAAATAAGAGATCAGCTTAACACATATTGTCTGTATAACTGCACTTGTGAAGGAACTAGTCTATGGTTTATTGTATCTTCTATGGACTTATCAATTGACCAATTTATAAAATAATTTATTAGTTAGTCTACTTAACACTCCATGGACTAGTCTAGTCTATTGTCCAGTGTATGGTCGAATCTATTGACTATTGTATGCAAAACTCTTGGCTAGTTTATGGATCAGTCCTTTGTGTAGTCTATAGACAAGTCTATTGGCTAGTATATAGAATTGTCAATGGACAAGTCATGAGTATGGACTAGTCTATTGGGCTATCAACAGACTAATATATTGACACGTCTATGGACTTGTCTAATACCTATTCTATTCACTAGTCTATTGAATAGTCAATAACCTTGTCTGTGGACTTGGTTGTTAACTAATCCGTTAAGTTGTGTGTTAGCTAATATATTTATTAGTATATGATTATTCTATTAAATATGATATTAAATAGTCCACGGACTAAACTATTGACTATTCTATTATCTTGTCAATTAACTAGTCTATGGAGTTCTCTGTTGACTAATATATGTACTAGACTATTCTATTGAATAGGCTAGTCTATGGACTAGACATTGACTAGTCTATGCACTAGACATTGACTAGTCTATGGAATAGACATTGACTAGTCTATGGACAAGACATTGACTAGTCTATAGACTAGACATTGGCTAGTCTATGTACTAGACATTGACTAGTTTATGGACTAGACATTGACTAGTCTATGGACTAAACATTGACTAGTCTATGGACTAGACATTGACTAGTCTATATACTAAACATTGGCTAGTCTATGTACTAGACATTGACTTGTCTGTGGACTAGACATTGACTAGTCTATGGGCTAGACATTGACTAGTCCATGAACTGGTCTATATAGTAATCTATAGTCTAGTCTATAGAATTGTCTATGTAATAGTCTGTTGATTAGTAAATTAACTAGTCTATAAACTATTCTATTGGTTAGTCTACAGACTAGACTATGAAGTGTCTATTGCCTTAAGTATTGACTAAACTATTGACTGGTCTATGGACTAGTCTAGTAACTGTTGCTTAGTAAATTGACCAGTCTATTGACTAGTCTATGGATTTGAATGTTGGCTTGTTTATGGACTTGACTGTTTGCTAGTGTATGGATAAGTCTATTGTCTAATCTATGAACTAGTAGTACATTGACTAATTTATGCAATATCAAGTCATATTTGATATTTAGCAAAAGTTTATAAAAAAAGTATTTTATTTGGGGCTAGTTTCCAAAGTCAAAAAAATACAATAGTTCTGAAATTACCATCCCTGGATAACAATAAAGAACCCTTTAGCCGTTGCAATAAAAACTCCATTAAATTTTTTTTTTATTAATATTATAGTTTTATTTATCAAATAAAAAAGTAGTATAGCATAGTGAACAAATATGTATTTGTCATCATTATTATATAAATCTTTTATCTTTTACTATTTCAATATAAAATAAAAAGAAAATTTTCAAATCTTTTTATAAACATATTAACTTAATAAGACTAAAATTTTACTATTCTCTATATAATTACGAGTAGAATATTTTAATATTATTAAAAGTTTAAAAGTTTTAAAAGAAATTTTATTTTTGTTTTATTTTACGAAAATACTTAAAAAATATATTAAAATTCAATATTATATTATTTAGAATTAAATTCCAAAAAATAAATAGATACACATAAATATATTTAAAAAAAAAAAAATTGTATAAAATAAACATAGAAAAAAGGACAAGTGAAAAATAAGAAATTTTCAAAAGTTTTAAATCATGAGTTAAAATTCGCTTATAATATTAATTATTCAATAAAGTTTAACTAAATTATATTGCAAAAATATGGAAATTAAAAATATAAAAAAATATATATGTATGTGACAGTTTATTGCAAAAACTACTACTAATAAATGGGAAAATTACCTCTAAAGGCTTTTTTTTTAAAGAAATTAATGCAAATTAAGTTATTTTGAAATGTTGTTGTTCTTTTTTTTATGTTAATATAAATGCTTTTAAATTGTTTATTATAAATTAGTGTTAATTAAATTACTTATTACTTTATGTTTATAATTTTATTATATTTTTCTTTGTTTATCAAAGAAATTTATAATAAAATCTATATTTTTATTTAATATTTTTAATCAGTCGTCCTTTTTTCCAATCGTTTCATTTTTATTTTCTTTTATATATTTTTGTTTTTTTCTTTAAAGAAAATTTGCTTAATATTTAGTTTTGTTTAGACTATATTTTTTATTTTTCCAGTTAAAGCAATTTTCTTTTAATATTGCTTTAATAAGTATTACTTAGAGAGTTTTACCTAATTTTATGTAAAAAAATATTAAAATAATAATAAATATTGCCCTCGAGTTCTTTTATTTTATTATATTTTTTTTTTTGCTTATCCGGCACCATTAAGTATTTTTTGTTTGATTTTTCTGTCTTTTGCATTTCTTCATTTTGTTTAAATGGCTTTTGTTGTTTAAAATAATAATTTTAATTATTATTTGCTTAAAAATGTCTTTAGCTTGATATTTTACTTTTCATCTTTATTTTCTCACTTGCTTATTAGTATTTTTTTTTAATTTAAACAAAATATTATTTTGTTTTCAAATTTGTTCTTTTGTGGCAAGTTTTTTTGTTTAGTTTTTTTTTTGTTAATCCATTTTACTAAGGTGGTTTCCTTGTTTGCATTAATCTTAACATTTTGAAATACTATTTGCTTGGTTTTTTATTCAATTCCTTTTTATATCTTTTAAAATTGACGTCCATGCCTTGCTGCAAAACCACCCTCGTATAATTTACATAATGACTCTGATCTCGCATTTGGTATATTACCACCCTGCATAGTTGAAGCGGTCGATGTTGTATGTGATCCATAGCTAGAGGCACTGCTTATTCCCTCATTGCTGTAGGGTTGTAATTTCCGACGTCTTTGATACAGATAAGTCCAAATGGCTATGACGGCTAGTTGAGCTAATAAGAAAACGGTGGCGGCTACAATGATACCTGGGGTAGGGAAAATAAAGACAATTTAATACAGTCAAGATTGGATTGTTTATTCTTTTAGTATTAAATCATAAAGCGTATAATAATAGGCCGATAGTTAATAAGAGAATATCTTCACCAGCCGAGTTAGCTGTAAAAATCTTTAATCTATAGCTCTGAAAATAGTATCTGAGTCACTTTCGATTTTTTAACAACAACCTCAGAATACTTTTTCTATTATATTTCAGAAGGGATTTATAGGAACTAAGTGTTGGTATGTTTTATAATTTGGAAAGATTTCCATGATAATGTGTTCGCTGAAATGTCAACAGCATCTCCGGGTGGTATAAAATTAAGACTTGTCTGTTAGTTTTGATCAGACCTTTAATTATTTTTCTTTTCAACTTTTGATGGCTGCTATTTTGGGAGTTATTTTATTTTGATGTAAAGCAACTCAAGGAAACACTTCCTTAAAGAGCCCCTAACCAAACATCATCGATTCATATATTGGGCACCGACTAGGTGTCACGTGGCTGCTTTCAAGCAGTCAACACGTCTACCTTAAAGGTTAATCTGCAAGCACAGATCTACATTAGGTTGTCTGAGTTATAGAAAGACCTCTCTAATTTGTACATATACATTGGAGCCTACCTAGAGATAACGTAAATACTTCTTCGATTCAATAAACTCTTAATAATGTAGATGATAAAGAGTATATTAGGAACTGATAGTAATAATGTTGAAATATAGAATAGCTACGTCAAGTCTTGGTAACATCATTAAGTCCAAGCAAGTGTATTTAACTCGATTCTTATTACAATGGACAATGGAGGCATAAAAGCATTAATGTTTCCACACATGATTATTGACATCATGAATTATCTTGGCCTCAAATCTATCAGGAAAAAAAGCAACAGTGGCCTACTACATCTGTCGTAAGATATTCCCTTTGAGATGGGGACTTAGTCCCAACATATGCAGTTAAATTAATGCACACAGCTTAAGTATGCACTACTATTACATATGGATCTCTGGTATAGTGGACTTCAGACTTCAAAGTTCAAGGATCAGCATGCATTGGAATAACAGGTGTTCCCTAGCGATCTTCTGAAGTCTTGAAGCAATCATCCGACTATATTACCCAACACACGGAATTAGATGGAACTGTCAGAGTCCCTTCCAGGAATGAGTGAGATATGGATAACTTATTGAACAAATATAACACCAGGATTTATACATATAGCGTTTAGGACACTAATTTTTGTAGACAGCCAGGCGTTACCTCTTTCTTTAAACTCTTACACTACGACTTCACTATTGGTCAGGCAATGTAAAATTGATCAGTCAAAACTAGGTCGCCTGTCTGACATTACTTGGCTACTATGGAAATGAACGGGTAGATGAGTTAGCCAAAACGGCATCTGCTCAGGTTCTTTCTTTAAATGCTGAAAATAGATGGAATAATCTCGATACACCATTAACCCAGGACCTTCTTTCAATGAAAAGCGCACTATAACATGAATTAGGTTGGACATATCGGGGAATGCTGGCAGTAAAACAGGACACTGGTTCCATGAAAATCGGAACGAATTTTTCGCAGTTGCTATGACAGGGATAATAAGAAATGGTTTTCCACATTATCTATGAATGCCCTTCCCCAGCTTTCAAAAACGTATTAAGAGATATTTTTGAAACATTCTAATCATGTTGGCAGTTTTCAATACGTTTTACCTTGGACTCTCTAGTAAGTGAGTGTAAAGTTTCTCGAACAGTTAGATGAATTATTTTCCTCATCAGATTTCTTATTTCAAACTTCTCACAAGTCTTTATTCCCTAATCCCTTCAATGTGTACTTTACTCATCACCTTTGTCGAATAAAGTAATTTATGCCTCTTTCCCTCACAACCTCTACAACTCAATATTTTCAATATCTCCAGCTATCTGTAGGCGTAATATTTTACTGCTCTTATTATTCTTATTGTCTACCATTGCTTTACTTAAAGGGAGTGTTCTAATCTCAATTAAATTCCTCTATTTCAATATTATAACATCATGCTTAATCTACCTTATTATAGGCAGCTAACCAAACCTCCAACAAATTTTCCCACATTAAATTTATTTCCAGGCACCCGAAAAAACAAAAAAAAAAAAAAACGTTCTACACAAACTACACTTGTCGTTTGTTTTTTTTTTCAGGATTTGTTCTTGTTGTTGGTGGAGAAAAACAACAAAAGACTATAAAGATTTTGTTGTTTTTCGTTTTTGAAGTCATTAAATTTTACAATCATAGATCAAATATACACTTAAATTATAACAAAAACAATTACGTCAAAGCTTAACGCCTGATTGCACACCTTTCTCTTCATTTAATACTTGGAATAGACCAACATTGTAAACAATTCCGATATCAGATGAATGAAATAGAAGGAAATAAACTAATAAAAAAAGAAACAAAATACAACCTTAAACCTTAATCGTCTGGGCACGTTTAGGATTGGGTTAGAAAATAGAAAACATCAACAATGAAATCAACAAGAAAGAAACATTGTCTCTAAAACATGATGAGGACCATAATAATGTTTAATACCTTCGTTTTTTTTTTTTTTATTCCCTGTTTCCTATCGCAACTTAACTGAACTCTTAAGTAGTATTGCTCTATGTAGTTAGTGTCAGTGTCTAACTGACTATAAGTGTGTCTGTCTGTCCGTCTGTAAGTTTGTAAAGTCTGTGAAAAGCGAGCAAAGCTTTAAAAGAAGAAGAAGAAGAAGTTTGTAACTTACCAATGGCATTAACACAGAATCCTTGTGTTGTTACATCACTAGCAATGAATACAGTTTCACTTGTATCGTAACCACTGCCTTTCGATTGTTGTTGCTGTTGTTTATCGAAGCCAAATTTGTCAGTGATCTGAATTGATTGTACCAAAAGCATATCTTCTTGACTAGGTTTCTTCGTTGTTTCACGACGTTGTCTTCTGAGCTGAGGTTGATGTTGCTGGTGATGATGTTCTTGATTGCCAGCATCTGCAACACCATTACCAAAGGAAGCTGAAAATCATAAGAAGAAAAAAAGAGTCAACCAAACATTGAAATGAAGCGATAAAATAAAATGTTATCATTAAACAAACAACAAACAGCTGAATTGCTCCTGTAGCAATTACAACTGCTGTTGCTGCTGGTAGTGGTTGTGATGCTGTTACTATTACTGTTGCTGCTGACAATGATAGTGATCATCATCAGCTAAACATTATTTTGTTTGTTTTTTGATTAAGGAAATTAATGTCATTGTTAGAATTGAATTTGATGTTAAGAGTGTTACTGCTCACCTGTTACATTAAGAGATCTACGTTTACGTCCAAATGATAGCAGAGATTTGTATTCACCACTAATGTCCTCTTGGTTACATTGTACCGGTTCACAGGTTGGCATACAGGGAGTGACCAGAGCTCTAAATTGTACCACTTCGGAGGAGGGGAATTTGAAAGCATCAAAGTGTGATAATAGAACCTTGCCCGACAAACTGCTCTTGTAAATGGCACCCATAATGAAATGATCGGTAGGACAACCATTGGAATCGATCAAAGTTATTTCAGCAGTATCACCACCATCCATAGCAACCAGTTCACGTACAAAGATTTCATAGGGACTGGATTCATCCAAAATCTCGAATTTCAAAGCCAAAGGATCGCCTACCTCGGCAGAACGCATAATATCCGAACCATCACGTGAGGTAATCTTCATGATAACATTAGGTGAATCAACAATAACTTCCTCAGACAAGGCCGGTTCAATGTCACCCTTAACACCCAAGTCCACTTCATTCGATATCGATTTGTTGGTCAAATCAAATTGACAAGTCACTGCCAAACCCAAATCCGAAGATGTTACAATAGTGTCATGATGCTGTATAACCACATCATTCATATAACGTCCCGAACCTTGTTGTCTTACATTACATTCCAAATCTGAATAACCCATACGCAGTTCAAATTCCAAATTATTTTTCACATCTACCGAACACGATTTGGGTGAACCCTTAGCATAGACTTTGCCATCGAAAAGTTTTGAAGTGCGTATACGTGCTACCATATCACTGGCTCCACATTCGATGGTAACATTGTAGCAAGAATAAAGTTCATAGGTTGCAGCTTCGGGTACTTCAAGATAGGGATCTTGTACATCGGAGAGTGTGGCACGACTGTGATGAGATAAACGACAGACCATATCACCGGTATCGCCAAAATCATAAGAATGGCATCTGAAGAAGAAAGAGTTAAATTGTTAATTGTTTTGTTTAGTTAGTTAGTTAGTTTGAAAGGATTATGTACATATATACATCAAATCCGAAGAAATACACCTAGGCCTCTATCGGGCCTGTTGTGCGCTCCTTAACCAGTGCCTCAGGTGGGAATCGAACCCACCACCTCCGGTCTACCAGACTAGAACACTAACCACTAACCCACCGGAGGCCACTTGTTTAGTTTATCAAAAAATTATACTTGGTCCAACAAATTATATATTTTTTTGATCGTTTTAGCTTTGAAATGTACGTCAGATATTAGCTTTAATAAATCACAAATTTTCAATAGTTATTTTGAACTCTGAGAAAAAGTCAAATCAGGTGGAAATTCTGGCATTCGAAAGCGATCGAAATTTCTAATAAAATATTTCAAAATTCTATTGGGATTTCGATCGCTTTGGAATGCCATAATATGCCTCCAGATATTAGAGCCTTGATATTGAAAACCTTTAGATATCGAAAGATCGCTGACAATGCATATCTTTGACATGAGCTTAAATCGCAGCTCTATTTTCTTTAGATTCGCGAAATGTTTATCCCACCCTTATTGCATGTTTGTCCACAACACAAATCTAGTCGTCCAAATCAAGAGCTTCGATCTTAGCATTTTCTTCTTATTGTATATGTCTTTGAAACATTCAATTCTCTCTATTCGCTGACCTTCTTTCCTGTTGCCTGAGCGTCCCAGGTATACAAAATTACGCACAATTATACTTTTTCCAGTACAAAGTCCATAGATTATTCCAAAGATTAGTTGGTTCGTATGCTTGTCTATTATCTAGACGATAGACAGGTCAATAGACTAGTCCATAGATTTATGCATAGATTGTTCCATAGACTAGTCAATAGACTTATATACTAGTCCATAAGTTGACAGACTAGTCAATAGTCCAGAATAAACCAGCTAATAGAGAACTCCATAGACTAGTCAGTAGAGTATTTCATACACTAGCGACTAGACCAGTCCGTAGAATAGTCACTAGAATAATCCATAGACTAGTCAATATGCTAGACCAATTGACTGACTAATCTACTTCTCAGATAAATCCATAAACTGGCCCATAACTATTACTGCGCCATAAACTAGTTAATAGACACTAATCTATAGACTAGTACATAGGTAATTTCATAGATTAGTTAATAGGGATTGAAATGAATGCTTTTATAGAATCATTTAATCACATATTTTCGCTCTTGGTAGATTTGTAATCTGTCGGACTTGTGAATGCTTCGAAGAACCTATAATTAATAAAACGAAGATTTTAGTTCTCTCCATTCTTTGATTTGATCAAAGCACCTATATAACCTGCTTTAACTTGGATGTCTTCCATTGACCCCAGTGGCGTAAGAACCCCTTTAATAAGTTTATTTATACTTATGGCGCCTCATTAATGATCTTTCTTCCCTAAGAACAGACATGTGTTTTAGACTTAGGATTTCTTCTTATTATTTATTCACCATTTCAGTTCGAACTCTTTAATTTTGGCATTTACTTCAAAAACTGATTAATAAATTTTCTTTGCCTTTGCCACCTTAAGCAGCAATTATTTCTATCAAGAAAATAATGAAAAACTTAAGACTATTTCACGCCTGACAAACAAATTAAATCTAAACTTATCAAAGTCATTGCCCATCTTTATGCCATAAACTTAAAGAAAAAAAAAATTTTTCTAACATAAAAATTCTTGAAGTAAACTGCAATTTTCTAACAATAAAATAAAATAGCTCATATTACATCACATAAAGTTATTATACTACACTAGACTTGATATGATGGTCCGTTTTTTTTTTTTTTTTGTTTACAACAATTTTGCCATATAAACACTGTCATAAACTCTCATCTTCGCATCTTCACTTTCCGTTACGTTGCAAGACGATTACGCGATTACAACAGTCGTAAATACGTAATATATTAGATTATAAAATGAAATAAACGTTAGACTAAAAACTAAAATACTATAGACTTTCAGCTCAAATAACTCTTAAGCATAATCGCTTTGTACTTAAATTTCAAATTCATTGTAACGCAAATCTAAACGTTTCAAATACAACAAATGCAAACATAAAAAATGAGAACACCTTAGAGCATAATAAATTTTATGAACCAAAAACGGAAAGAATAGAATGGAGAAATCCTAGCAAGTTGCTAGTAGTAGTAGTAACTAAAGAAAACTTTACTCAATAAGCCAAATCATAAATAACTTAACAATTTGACCATTATGGAGTAGAGTGTAGTGTTTTGTGGCCAAAAGTAAGAAAACCATAACATAAAAATAAAATAAACATTAAACAGCATGTAACCTGTTTCAACTTCTTCCTTTTTTCATCCACACCATGGTTGGGCCACAAACACACTAAAGCACTAATTCTTACTTTAAGGAGCTTTTTTTTTGTTTTTTTCTTTTGAACTGTTCTAAAGCCATAATTTCAAATCTCTCTTTACAAGTTTATAGTTAGATGATTGTTGTCGTTATAGTATGTATGTATTAGCTTAGTCGCATAGCGTTGGCTTAAATTCTTAGTTTAGTTTTAGTTTCAGTTTATTTTGCGTTTTTACCTGTATGGTGAATTTATACACAAATCACGGCACTCATCAATACTGCCAACATCCTGATATACTGAATCTACTGTTTTCAATATTCTACCCGATAAACGTTTAAATTCACATAATTTATTTGGTTCTTCGGCACAATTGTTTTCAAGATAATCGATGCCATCATGAGCCTGGAATGCACTTGTACCCGCCAATGTAATACGATCCATTTCAGACAATTCACAAATATTTGTGGCACGATAATAATTGGCTGATCTGTAAGAAAAAAAAAAGACACAAAAGAAAATAGATGAAGACAATGAATTAGAGTTATAGAGTGGTAGTAAATATTTTTATATTTTATTTTTGGTTTGTTTAGTTTAAAATTTTAAATTGTTTGTTTATTTTCTAAATTGTTTTATTGTTAAAGTTTATTTTTGTAAATATATAATGGTTGTCTGATTTTGACCTAAAAACTATTTTAATGCAGGATTTTTCTGGGCTGTTGTGGGACATTTTATGTTTCTTTTTAAGGCTCTCTACTTCCCAAATCTGGACATTTAACAAATTTCTTAGTTTTAGCAGATAGGAAGTCTCTTCATATGTAGATGATATATAGCGAGATCTCTTCTAATATGTTTCAAGCAATTCCATGTAATTCTTATACCAATTAAAAAGGTTTGGGCGTCTTATACTCATTGACTTGATTATTTCAAACTTTGATTCCTCGATATGTGTTATTTCCCACGACAAAGATCGTAAACAGTCTTCGCTGTCGGATTGTTTGTTTCCAAAACATGTAAAAACTTTTCGAATGAAACTCTTTGTAAACAATTTATGGTTCTCTTCTGAATTCTAGGTATTTTTTGATTGTCTTATGGTTCAAGGACCCTTTCAGAAATGTCTATATTACCTCTGGCCCTCATAGATGATGTTCGTTCCCAATTGACACATTCAGAACATAATGTGCGAACACATAATCTGTAGAACACTTTAATGTTTTCGGATGAAAGTCCGTTATAATTAGAACATGGGCTCATTATCACGATTATGACGATAATCGTTACAACTATATAATTGTTGCAGGTTTGGGGGGTAATGACTACATTTTCAATTACAATTAAATTTGAAGTAATTGTAATTGAAGCTTTACCAATTACAATTATTTTTATTGAAGTTTTGGGGGTAATGACTACATTTTTAATTACAATTACATTTGAAGTAATTTTAAATTAAGCTTTACCAATTACAATTATTTGTAATTGTAATTGAAGTTTTGACAATTACAGTTACTTGTAATGTTAATCGAAGTTTTGCCAATTAAAATTACTTGTAATTGTAATTGAAGAATTTGCAATTACAATTACTTGTAATTGTGAATTTTGTTCCTTATAATAACATGTAATTTGTAATTAGTAATATCTTAATGACAATTACAAGTAATTTCAATTACAATTACAATTACAAGTAATTGTAATTGGTTATTGGTTAATTACACATTACAAGTAATGGGAAAACTTCTATTACAATTACAAGTATTTGTAATTGGTTTTGCTCAATTATACATTGCAAGTAATTGTAATTGACCATGCAATGAATAACATTGTGTAATCATTGCCCCCATGCCTGAATTGTGGCAACTTGCAGAAAAGTATTTGTAATGTAAATCAATACTGATAATAAATATAAAGCTTTTAAATTATGGTCAAATATAATCACAATCTGGGTGGAGAGCAGAGTTCCTAAATTTTCCAAATAACTCATTAAATTTAATAATCTTTAGCAAACATATAACAACTCTAATAAGCTTTACCCTCCCCAAATCAAAATAATCTACATTTCATTTTCATTGTTTTCTTTGTTTTTTTTTTTTTTTTTTTTTCTTCTACATAAAACCACATATTCAAATATAAAACAAAGTCAATTCTTTAAAATCTAACATCTTTAAATTGTTAGAAAATAACGAAAAAAAAAATCATACTATTTCCTAGACTATAATGTAGGCGTTTGTTTCAAGAGCTAAAGCAACATGTTTAAAACGTTTTAAGTGTCGCTATATGGTGTTTATGCAACGGCTGCTGCAGCAAAAAAAAAAAAAAGAAGAACATTTGGCATGCAACATCAGTTGATAAAAATCAATAGTTACTTAAAACAGAAATTCAAGAGAAATTGTTCTTGTTAATCGTATTAAAGAACTACGACCAAAACCAGACCACACAGAAGTCGTTGTAGTTTTCAGTAAACTCTTTAAGCTTTAAAGAATAATGTTGGAAAACATTTTTTATAGATATAGTTTATTTCATTTATTTAGTAAAAAAAATCCTAAATATTTTTATGTGTAAGGCAAAAAGGAACATAAAAAAACAACGAAGCAAAATAACGAGTTCTTTGATAAGAACGCAATAACAAACAAAACCAAATGAATTATAGAAAGAAACTTTATTCTTACTCGACATTATTGTGAGCTATTGTAAGCTTTGTAATATTTATATAATTCATGTTTTCATATTAATAGCTTTTTCTTCATTTAACATTTTCCCAAAAAGCTTTTATGTTCCTCAAAAACTTTATAATCATTTCACTAATGATTTTTCTCACAAAAGCTTTTTTTCGCAGAGAAAGCAAATATTATAAATAGTTTTTAGCGAAAACTATAAGAAGCTGCTTTTTCATGTAAAAGCTTTTTCCTACGAAAATTATTTATTAAATATAGTTTTTTGTTATAAGTTTCATTTACAAAGAGCTTTTTAATAATAGTTTTTCTTCACAAAAATCCTTTGAGTAAGAGCTTTTTTCCACAAAAAGCTTTATTCACGAAAATTTTATTCACAAAATGTTTTCCCAAGCTTCATTCACAAAGAGCTTTTTAATAAATGTTTTTTCACAAAAATCTTTTTAGTAAAAGCTTTTTCCATAAAAACCTTTATTCACGAAAATTTTACGCACAAAATGTTTTCCCATGAAAGCCTTATTCACAAAATGCTTTCTAAAAGCTTTTCCGTAAACGCTTTTTCCTTAAATACAAATAAGCTGCTTTTTTATGTAAAAGCTTTTTTATAAGAAAATAATTTATAAAATATTTTTTTGTTATAAGCTTTATATACAAAGAACTTTTTTTTTAAGTTTTCTTCACAAAAATCCGTTTAGTAAAAGCTTTTTCCAAAAAAGTTTTTTTCACAAAAAGCTTTATTAACAAAAAAGTTATTAATGTAAACTATATTCACAAATATTTATTCCTTAAAGCTTTATTCACAAAATGTTTTCTCATAAAAGCTTTATTCACTTAAAAATTTCCGTAAATGATTTTTTTAGAAGCTTTTTCTAGAAAGCGTATTTAACAAATAGTTTTTCCACTAATGATTTTCATTAAAAGCTTTTTATACAAAAATATAGCTCATTAAAAGCTTTCTTCGCAAAAGGTTTTTTCATAATGGCGTTTTCAAAAAGCTTTATTGACAAAAAAAAAACTTTTGCACAAAATTTGTGACATAAAAAGCATCCTTCACGGAAGAAGCTTTAAGAAAAAAAAGCTTTTCTTAAAAAGGCTTTTTGCTCTCTTTGCTTTAGAAAATTATTAAAAAGTTATATATTTTTTTCTACTACAATATCTTAATAAAATTTTCCCCTCTCCACCCTCGTAGATATTTTGATAAGCCTGCGTTATATATTTTTTTGTACCTATAACAAGAACACAACATTAAAAAAAAAGAAATCCAAACAGAGATGTGCTGTTATTGCCATTTTTAATTGACAGAAATAAATGTTATTGACAATCTTTGTTTTGTGCTTATTTTAACCCGCTTCTACACTTAGCGGGGCTCAAAACTAACTAACCAAAGTTATGCTACCAAAGCATATTTTCCCCAACTACTACTGCCAATAGTAACAGCAGGCTATTTAAGGCGTTTTGTTTGTATATTTTCAGCAGTTGTCATGATATTATAGCATTGATAGGCATATTTTTTAAAACTATTCCTTACATATACTACTGATCCAAGTATTGATTCCTTACAACTCGGTTATAGAGGTAAAGCACCTCTTTGCTTTTGGTTTTGTTAACAAAATGTCAATTGTATTTAGTTTTTTTTCTTAAACACAGAATTTCTCTTGTTAATGTTGGCAAGCGGAGCAGAAAACAAAAATATTTGGTTTAGTTTTCTTAGTTTTTTTGTTGGTATTTAATGGACAAGGACGTTAAAAACCGTTTTTATTGTGTTTTATGTAATATATACTGCTGGCATACAACTTTTATATTGTTTTGGTTATACAATATTTTCTTTTCCTTTTTGTTTTAGTTTACAGATGTTAGATTAAGTTTATGGCATGTTCACAAAATTGTTACGAGTCCAAACATTAAATTGATTATTGATTGTTTGTTTAGAAATTAAATTAGTTGGAAAGTTGTTGTTGAATAAAAAAAGGAAATTGTTGGTCGAATTTTGATTTTAATTTAAGTTTAAGATAAACTTTGTGTGCGTAGAAATATGCGCTTTCTATGTTTAATTTGAAGATTTGTAAACAAAGTAGAATTGATTAAGAAAATTCTCAATTTACTGAATTTTATTAAAAGGGGTTTACAACTTATGAGTTCTTCCGTAAGCGGAAAGCTTTATTCGAAAAAAGTTTTATGCTTTAAGCTTTATTTAAGAAGTATTTTTAATATGAAAAAAGCTTTTAAAAAAACTTTATTAAAAAAGCTTTCTAATGGAGAGCTCTATTCAAAAAGGTTCAAAAAAGCTTTCTGTAAGAAAACTTTGTTCAAAAGAGTTTTTTTTATAAAAGTTTTCTTATAAAAAGTTTTATTCAAAAAGCTTTCTTATAAAAAAATTTTATTCTAAAAAGCTTTCTTATAAAAAGTTTTATTCAAAAAAGGTTTTTATAAAAAGCTTAATTAATAAAAGGTTTCTTATAAAACTGTTTTATAATTTTAAAAAAGTTTTATTCAAAAAAGCTTTTTATAAAAGCTTAATTAAAAAAGCTTTCTTATAAAAACTGTATTATAATTTTTTTGAAAAAGCTTTTAAATAAAAGTTTTATTTACATTTAACTTTTATTCACAAAAAGCTTTTTCAGAAAAGCTTTATTTACAAAAATTTTCTTTCCGAAAATCATTTTTCTGCAAAGCTTTTTTTACTTATGACTGGCGCTTTCTGAAAATTCTCAATATCAGTTAATTTGTATGTAATTTATGCCTTTAATAACTTACTATTGTCCATTTAATAAATTGCAATTTAAAATTAATAACTGCTACCCTCCTTTAATAGGCAATTATTATT